TGAAATAATGTAAGTTTTAGAGAGAGAGAATGCAAAGTAGGAGTATATTGATTTCAAAAATCGGATCCATTACAATGAGGGGTGCCACCCCTTTTATAGGGGGTACAATATACTAAGTCAAAGCCCTCTGATCGAGGCCCGTCGTTTAGCGGACGTCACCTGTCCTTAGGTCTTGTCCCTTTCATCCTATCGCTTTCACCAAGTCTTCGTTGAACATCGTTTTCCGCACGTCTTGTCCCTTTCATCCTATCGCTTTCCTCAAGCCTCCGTTGAACGTCGCTTTCCGCATGTCATTGTCGTGGGGCTCGGGCTCGGCTTGGTCGGCCGAGCAGGAAGGACGAGCGGAGCGCAGAGCCGGGCAGGAAGGACGAGCGGAGCGCAGAGCCGGGCTGGAAGGACGAGCGGAGCGCAGGGCTGGGCAGAAACATCCAAGCCCGATCCTTTGGAAATTTATGCTGATGTCAGTCCTAGGCTGGTGTGGGGTTATTCCCCATCAGAGGGGAAAGGAGATATGTTTATAAATTTTTCCTACTATAAATATGGATATTCTCAAACTTTTTTTTGTAATTACCATCTTTGATATGCGTTTTGAGCTCTTAAGTTCTTATTATACGGAGTATTAGGTTCATATAAGACATGTTTGGGAGTAGTGTTATTGATTAGCGTTAACGCTTTGAAAAGACTATCTACGCGTAACGTTTAGTGTTAGTGTTTTCAAAGTCAATGTATACCGTTAAAGTTTTATCCTAAATACTAACACTAATCTTTAACGTTATTCCCAAACAGGTGCATATTATATACTTCTTTCATTCCTAAAAGATGTTTCTGTTTCATTTTTTGTGCATTCTGTAAAACACTTTTGTCTGTCTTCAAAATGAAAAAAAACACAATTAACTCTGAACAAATTTTCTAATCGGAGTTTTGATTAATGTTATTTATATTTTAGTCTTGGATATTTGTATGTTGTAGTTTCAAGAGTAATAAATCATAATGACTTGAATATTCTGATGTGCAACGAAGACATGATTTTCATAAATTTATACGAGTAATGTGAATTATAAAGTAATCTTTCAAATATTGTAAATCATTTAACTTTTGTAATTTAAAATAATGCAATCTCTATATTCCATTATATACTAATTTTTAATATTCAAAAATAATGTATATAATTTAGTAATTTAAATATGACTCGTGCAACGGATGTGATATTAGTTGCATTAAACGACAGGAAATTAATTGAAATGTTCAAATCCCTTTAAAAAAGGAAAAGTCAAATCCAAAGCACTCTTTTGTCGGTCCATAATTGAACCATCGCTTTGTCAAACTTGGAACGACAAAATGTACACACATTTGATACATATGATCATGATTTCAAAAAAGTTTTTTTTATATAAAAACAATCAACAAATTGGTAGTGGTAATTAAAAGATTGGGATTATAATAGATTGTGATTAGCGTAGAGAATCTAAGCTCTTGCTCAAGTCCTCCAATTTCTTCATTCTGAGCTTCTCACTTTCGCTCACTAACTCCATTAATTTTGTGATTAATTGAGCTTTTTCCTTGCTCTTCATATTAAATGCCTCCAAAGCTTCTTTATATTCCTTTTCCTGCATATACATAATTTGCACAAGTCATATATTTCATCTCCCAAATTATTTTAGTAAAAGCAACGGAAAAATTTTCATGAGAAACTAGAGTAATTTTTTTTAGACAGAAAAAAAAAGAGAAAATATTCATATTTTTTATGGGAGGAAAAAAGGAGTACGTGGAATTGTGGATAGACTTCATGTTGAGTGCGGGTCCTCCAAATGAAGGACTCACAATATGGTCATTCATTTGATCTCTTATCCATTAAGCAAAAAAACAAAATGAAATGACATTTCAACTTATGCCAAAATTAGTTTGGATGTCTAGATGGAGGTCACTATTGATGATTTCAATGTCATTTGCTACTACTTCCGTCTTTGAATATTTGTCCAATTTTAACTTTTTTTGGTTAACCGCTTTCAACTTTTGACTTATAATTAAATAAAATATATATTGTATATTAACTAGATAAAATAACATTTTGAAAATATTCGATATGATAAATCTGATGAAACTATTTTTGTATTAATATCTAATATCATTTATATTTAATTTGAGGCCAAATTTACCAATTTTCACCGAAAAAAACCAAAAATTGACAAATACTCAGGGACGAAGAGAGTATTTTATATAATTTGATTTACTTAAAATCAACGGAAATTTTAAAAGACATTATTAACGAGTTAAAAGGTATAGAGAACACACTCGTTCAACGTTATTAAAATCTCCATAGCGGGGTCAGGTGACAACGGTCCATGCATTGGCAGATCAAGCTTGATCGTATCAAGGGCACTCGCTCTAGTCTGTTTTTTTTAAATATTTTTTTAAAAAATATAAAAAAATTCTAGGTAGTAAATTAAAAATCTGCCCTTAGTAAAAAAAATCAGGCGCTAGTAAATACTCCCTCCGTCCCCCTGTATTTGTCCACTTTCATTTTTACACACCATTCAATTCATTTTTTAATTCATTTTATCATGTAATTTGTATATTAAAAAATTATAAAAATTATATATTAATAATCTATATGTTAAGACAAATCAAACAAGATCACACATGACTATATTTAGATTTACACATTGAGAGAATTTGATGAGTCAAAGTGTATAGATGAACAGTTCCAAAAGTCAAATGTGGACAAATACAGGGGGACGGAGGGAGTATAAAACAATACATTCAGATGCATAGTTCATCTCTAGCATTCTTTATGAAAAGACACGTAACATTCAAATATATAGTGTCAAATATGAATGTTTCACGAATAGATGCGACTCTTCACACAAACTTGTAGAATTGAAGTATTTGTTCATGTTAGTTCCATGGTGTTGGCTAATCTTTTGGCAAAATAGAATCCCATATTTGTTAGGTGTTTTACTAGGTAGAAACCTCTATTTGTTAGGAGAGGTTTATTTTATTTAGAATTCTAGAGCTGCTGCAGTTTTCGATGTTGGCGCAGAAGATGCTACAGCACGATGCTGCAACACACAGTTCGGGATCAGAGGTCTGAGCACGGGATTTTTAGCTGCAATCTGATATAGAGACCTATTGGGACTGAGATTACATGATAATAACTCCACCTGTACATGCTAAGGAATCCCAACTCTTTAGGCTACTTGTGGATCAAGAATAAGGAAGTAGAGTTCAAGCCAACTTCTACTATCCTATTCCTACTAGGATTGTGTTGAGAGAAGCCTATAAATACGCAGCAGGTCCCTGGGAATTACTTGGAGCGATTGAGAGGGAAAACAAAGAATATACGCTGATGTAGAGCGTTCCCGTCGCGTCCCGGAGCTTCCCTTGCGTGAAGAAGGTTACGATCTACATGAAGGAGGAGATCTTCAACGCCAAACAGATCGTGACAACCAGGAGATGAACCAGAGCTTAAGGAGAGGGCTCTCAACACGTTTGTCCTCGTGATCTCGGTGGAGATGTGATAGCCAAAGCGGATCTGAACAGAGTTCGGGTTAGAAATCCTAGATTAGATCGAAGTTTTGTCATAGCAATTCGGAGAAGTGTGTCTCATCATGTTGTTATGTACCGGTGTAACTTGCATCTAGTGATTTAGTGGAGGGCTATTACACGGACGTGGGCCCCGCAGATTAGGAGAGTTTCTCCGAACTGCGTAAACATATCTGGTGTTATTTTTACGCATTTTATAGTTACAGCATTCTGCCTAGTAGGCGCTGTAATGCTAGCTCTCTGCGTCATCTGCTTCTATGTGTGCTTGTGACAGAGAAGTGTTATAGCACACTGTCCGTCATCTATTACTGGACAGTGCTGCAGCGTCTTCTCTGCAGCATGGCTGGTTGATTTGTTTGCATAGCTCTTAATTGATGATTTACGCTGCGCCCCCACGAACTTACAGTTCACACATTAACCTCTATATATACACAATTGAGTGTTCAAGGGCGAACATTTATTTGAATGTTTCACAAAAGGTTATGTTGTTTCATCAACGAACATATCCACATAGATCTTGACCTATAAGTAGATGGCTCGAGGGTATGTTTTGAGGATGCATAACATCCATACTCTTTTTAGATAAATACGTCTTATTCAATTATAATATTTGGTATACATTGAAATAAATTTTATCTGAAAGTGTGTTTCATGCGATTCGTTAAATCTACCAAGTTTTCTTCATGTTTCATCATATATCGATTATATCTAACGTTGCCACACAACATTGCCATCTATTCTAGCTAGATTCCCAACACTCAAGATACTAAGCTTAGATAGCTCATACACACACACACACACACATATAAAGAGAGCTAGAGAGATGTGTAAAAGTAAGATGTGATAGATTATTATTGAAAAGAAATGGTGTGATAAGTAGGGTGGTATGAAAAAGTAAGAGTAAAAGTGATTTTTTAATAAAAGATGAAAGTGTTTCAGAAAAATGGAAAAAACTCAAAGAGGAAGATCGAGTTTATTGAAACGAGTGGAGTACTTTTTACTAGTATAACAATTTGTAAATAAAATATTTTTTTAAAAGAGAAGATTTTGTACGTTGTTTGGAAGAGAGTAAATAATTTGGGACGAGATAAGTAAGGTGTTTCTTTGTGCTCTGGTGCTTATTAGCTTATTGTTGATCAACAATTTTTAACTTATAAGCTGCTTATAAGTTAAATATTTTTTTGTAGAAGTAAAATGATTTAAATAATAGATAAGTCATTTGTAGATATTCATAAACAGTGAAAGATTTCAAAAATAATCTGGTCAAAATGAATAAATGAAAAAGTAACTTATATCTAAGTAGTTAAGACCTACTTGTTTTTTTAATTATAAATCAACTTATAAACACAAAAAAATATGTCATCTAATGCCTCTTAAGTTAAAAATAAGCATTTTTATCGAGCTTACACAAAAATACACTAAATTTAAGAACACAAGCACATACCTTTCTTTGGCAGGTTTGTCCCATCGGCTTCAACTCTCGACTAACCACATCGATCCTCTTCCGAACAGCAGCGACTTCTTTTCCCACTGGATCACCAAATCCTTCTAGCTCCTACACCACAATATATTTTATTTATAATATAACTGCTTTATTTTTATTTTTAAAAATACGTTTCATTTTGTGTCATTTTGTCAAAGTCAAACACTTATAAATACTTTGACTAATAATTTTACTCTATAAAAGTTAGTTTGAAAAATATTTCTCCATGCTTAAATTAAATACTCACAACAATTTCTTATAGTCTCTCCATTTTATAAAAAATTTCGCCCTAATTGTCTGTGCATTCCACGCAATACTTATACTTTACCTAAAACGTTTAAAGCAACTCTTAAAACAACTTTTATCCACAATAAAGAAGAATTAAGGCATAGTTACCAAAAGTTTAGGTGTGGTAAAAGTGTTTTGTAAACTTTTTGAGAGCGTACATTATACGGAGTATGATTTATATCTAAATAAAGTTTTTTTATAATCTTTAGTCAAAGTTTGTAAAATTTAACTCAAAATTAAAGCGTGAATTTTTTGAATCACCTTTAATAAAAATGGTCTACCTCATTAGTACACCGACAACCATCATAATATTCCTTTCGTTAAAAAAATATCATCATATTCACTATTCACATAGTCAAACTTTATTCACTTTGTTGGCCTATTTTTGTTACGCATTTGATAAAATAAAATAGTCATGTCAATTCTAATTTTGTAAATCTTTTGATATAATTTTTTGATATGTTAATTTTATTTTTTAATTGCACATCATTTTTTATATAAAATAATTTGAAAATAACTTTATTCAAACATCTGCACAACGAGGAGATAATTTTTGAATGGAGGGAGTACATGTTTTATTAATTTATCAATGTTTTTATTCACAAGATTGTATTATTGAGATACATTGAGGTACAATCAATGTTTCTATTCACACCAAGCAAACATTTTTGAAAACAAAAAACAAAAAATCCTTTGTATATACCTCTCTGATATCAGCCAAACGCTTAGTTTGTTCCTCAACACGGCCGAGTTGTGCCTGCACTTTGTCGGACACCTCCCTCCTCCGCCTCTCGATATCTTCCTCCTTGGCCCGAAAGGCGGAGAGGGCCGATCTCGTAATATCCTCCTCCCTGTCCTCCGCCATCGGGCTGCCGGCTCCGGCATAGCCAAGGCCGCCGGAGCTCTTCATGCTCATCAACAGCTGCGGCGTCTCTCCCATCATCTGTTTCGGGGTCGCCATTGTGACCTCACTTTCTTGTCTCTACTCCCACTTTGCCTTGTCTAATGAGTCATAAATATACACATTTACCAGCAGGACAGGTGTCCCTAGCTAGACTTGCTTTAAAGGAATGTGAACATTGTCTTTGCTTTCTTTAAGAATGGTACAGTTTTCTTGCTTCTTTCTTTTCTTAAAAAAAAAAAAAAAATAAAGTTCCACATATAGAGACTATTTACATGATAAAAAATACTAGGGGTACACCAAATGGGGTACCCCATTTGTACCCCCTCCATCTCTACCACACAAAGGCAAGAGAGGAAAACAATTTAAAAATGAAAAAAGAAATGGAGGATTATGATAAATGGTGTACAAATGGGGTACACCATTTCTCATGCATGATCGGTTTGAATTTTAAACTAAAATTCCACAAAAAATTAGGGATTGATCAATGTACATAAAAACTACTTTTGGGTCACGGTCATAAACTTGAACTTTTGGTTGATTTGATTCCTTGACATGGTATCGGAGTCTTTATGACTAAGAAGTCATAAGTTCGAAACTCAGCGCCACCAAATTAAAAAAAAATTAAGGTCTTACGTGCAAGGCTAAGAGAAGTCATATCTGCACGTGAGAGGCGTGTTAGAGCATATAAAAGCTATTCTTGGGCCACAATCAAGCTTGAGCTGACCTTAATGGGTTTTCTTCCTCTGGGTGACCCGACCTTAATGGGCTGAGATCTAGCCCATATCTTAGGCCCCCAACCTTATTTTTTTCCCTAGCTTGCCTCTTGGACTGTTCTTCTTTGCCGACCCACTAAATTATCTTCGGGTCTTTCTTATAATGTACAGTTCTTAACTTGGATTAAGACTCAAATTGCTTATAATATCTCGATGGGCTTGGTTCTCATCAAGTATACTATTGATGGATACATTTTCTATGTTAACAACATGTGGACGTACTTTTAATCTAGACAATAAAAGTATATATTCGGTATTACTCGTATTATTTTGAGAGGCAAACACAAAAGTGTATTGGTTAATTTTTAGTTTTATTTCTAATTTTAGGCCAATAAATTAAAAGGAATGTGAATACAAGTTCGTTCTTCAATTGAATTACTCTGACAAACTTTAGAGTGACTAAAGTGCAAAATGAATTTTTTTAAAAAGAGCAGAAGAAGTAGAAACGGAGTAGAAGAAAAGAAGTATGATCCATTTTTTGGTACAAGCACACAGGGGACCAACCTATTAATGTAAGACAAATATAGGGGTCCATTCCCCTTGTATTGTTTTGTAAAATTTTGTCAAATTTCAATAATGAATTTAAAAAAATGATATTACAAATTTAATCAAAAATATAAATGAATATAAGTACTAGTTGAATAAAGCAAATGTTTTAATGGTGTGTTTGGAAACTTAAATTTGAACTTCAAATTTGAAGTTCATCTAAATTACTTTTTGAGAACTCAAAGATTTTAGAATTGGATTTAGACCAAATTCTTCTTATTCAAAAGTAACCCAATTATTCTTCTTTTCCATGTCATTTACAAATTCAAACCTAATTTCTCTTTAATTTATAACCTGTAATCAAGGGATAATCTCTCCTTATATAACAAAACAATTCCATACATAATAACCGACTTACGTTACCGTCTTTTGCCGACTTCAAAATTTAGATTCTTGAAATCATTCTTTGACTTCCAAAATAATATTTGGATTTTGAAATTATGAAATTTCAAATATTGAAATTAAAATCTAAGATTTCAAATTATTTCTACTTTCCAGATACTACCTAATAGATCTTATATTTTCGCATTGATGTTGTGGATCTTATTTGAATTGTTTAATATTTTGATGTACACATCTTTCTAACGTTTCGAGCCTACCAAATTGAAATCACGTATCTAAGTCCACCGAATTCAAAACTTCTCTTTTTTCTACTAATATATCAAAGAGATTTGTTAATAGTTAATATTATTAATAATGTCAACAAGAAATTAATTTTTTAAGATGGTTTGTTATAGTAGTAATATATTGACGGGAGATTTGTTATAGTGAAATCTTCGATCCATAATTATACTCGTTCAAGACATATCAAAATTATGTTTAGAATATAACAGAAGAATGACAACATCAAATAAATCCTAACCAAATACAGATAATAGCCTAGTGTTTGATGTAAACACTTTTCACTTACTATTATACAACACACCAAGTCTGGAAATCAATCCATGACTTGGTTAAGAACAACAAACAAGCAAAGGGATCAGTAGATGTACGGCACCTTGGTACCATTTCACCTAGTATCACTCAAATTTGTTCATCCAACTTTGTTAAATAACTTAAATTATGAAGTAATACCAAATGTGGAGAAGAGAAAAGGAGCAAAGTTCATTCAAAGCCGAAGGAAGTATATTTCTAGAAAATGTTCATCAATCATCATCAAATATAAACGCCATCTTCATAATTCTACAATATGTTGCTAGTGCCTAGTAGCATTTATTTCTCATGTAAATAAAATATAAGTGCATGGAGTTTGTCCCATATGCAATGTTATGTTGGCCAAAGAACAACAAGTTATTAGCAACAAAATGCTTCCATAATTCCAAATGCCAAAAAAAACAATATTTAAGTCAAAGCATGGAAGGGCAGACATTGTTGAGCCATCATTCCTTCTTCCCAATGCCATGTGACATATTGTAGATCCCTCTACCCTGAAACATCATCACCACTGTTATTACTTCCTCTATCCCTCACCACTTTGACCGGGCACGTGATTTGAAAAAAAAATGAAAATTGTATTGTCGGAATTATGTATATTAAAAATAAAAAAAGAGAAATAATACTCCGTATAAAGCACATCGCTATTGCAAAAATCAGGATGATAATTTGTGGGGAGGGGTGGCGGGGGAGATATGAAAAGAATAGTGTTGGAACTCACAATCATATAGATTGATGAAATTGCAAAACCAAGAGGAATGGCAACAGAGGTTATCTTGTCCATGGGACCCTTCAAATGAGTGTGCCTTTGAATGTTCTGGAAATACCTCTGTTTCTCAGCCAGCTTTTCTCTAGGCCGGAAGGGTGCTTCTGTTATCGACATGCTGCAATCATTATCAAATACTTCATTAGTTTCATTGTTGAAAGGCCAATAAGAATTACCATCTTGTACTGTCACACTTTTTCGTTGGCAGTACATGCTAGTATGCCACTACAAAATCAAAGCTTTATTTCTCTCCTATGAACCCTTGACAAATGCCAACCATGTATAGTAGTACAAAGCGGTAGGTAGTCCATATATCATTTTCCTTGTTAAAGCTAATTCTCTCATCTCAACACATACTTGGGGGTGTTTGGTTTCTAAAAATGGCTTCCAAACTGCTGAAACAGCCTTTATATTTTCAAGTAGGGGTAAGGCATGCGTACACACACCCTCCCCAACCCTAATTTTGTGGGCTTCTAATGGGTTGTTGCCTTCTAAAATGCTATTTTAATGTGAAATTTGGAATATACATGGGGTACAAACACAAAGTTCTGTTAGACTTTGACCATGCCAGTTTACCTTAATATCAAATCCTTTGTTTGGAAGAGGGAAAATAAGAATGGAAAAAAAAAATAAAAGGTGGAAAATAAAGGGGTGAGTTCATATTATGTTTTTGGGAAGGTGAATGAAAACAAGGGAGGATGGAAAATAATCGTTTATTTTCCTTAATTACTTTTCCTCCTAAAATGGGAGGAAAGTTTAAATTGTTAAATAATTCTGCATTCACCATATTAATTAGAAAGCAAAATAGATTTATTTTCCTTCCACCCTAAAATATCCAAACAAGAGGAAAACAAATTGATCTTCTCCTTACAAATATTCCTCATTTTCTTTTCTCCCTAAAGAACTATCCAAACGAGGGGTAAGGTTTCACTGCAAGGAAAATAAATCATAGATGCAAAATCAAAATATTGAAATCAAAATGAGGCTACTCAATTTCCTATAGAATTCATTCTGTGAACAAACTAAAATAAAAACAATTTATCACCCCAATCCAAAGATCCAAGCAAAACATGTTTTGGGATCACATCAGTTTCAACACAGAAAGCACCCTCTAATACTAAGAGTGTATCCTACAATTAATGTTTGTCATAGCTCCATTTCCTAGCTCAAAGTAAAACACATCTAATTCTAAATTGCAGCCTACAACCTAAAAAGGTGCAGCATCACTGATATGTGTTGATCAATTTGCAACTTCATGGCTATAATGATAACAAAATATGTACTAGGAACCAGGATGTGATGAAAATCACAAGATTCATGAAATTCCTACTGTATGTTTCAAAAGGTAATATGCAATTGAGGTGAACAAAAAATAGCAGAACTGGGAACCGAATGGAGAAACTGATGCAAATATCCAATTAACTGGTGGTGAGTTTTAGAAAATTTCAAACGAGTTTACTGAACTGAGAACATGAAGCGATTCTCAGATCAGTTGCAGTTCTCAGCGTTGGTTATTAGGACACCCCTTACCTAGTAACATAAGTATATCCTGTGATCCTGCCTCATACTTTTTTTACACATTTTTCACTTTCCTATGAAAATTTAGAATGCTGAACACAAATTAAAAAACAAAATTGAAAAGTGTTTCTGAAAAGACTGGTTAACCATAACCAATCGAAATTAGGTAAAATGACCCAAAAAACGGTCACCAGTTGTTTTGGATTGATGAACGATCTCCATTTAGGTGAGATCCAAAATGAGTTTTGTTAACAATTTTTGGTTCACAATTAAGGCGAGCAAAAATATGGTCACCCAGTTTTAGGTCAACCAAAATCCAGTTAACTGGTTTGATTACCCTCAGACTTATTATTATTACGGAGTATTATTATTATTATTATTATTATTATTATTATTATTATTATTATTATTTAGAACCTCTTTCATATTAACAGAAGAAAAACCATTTTTGACTTTAGAGTAATTCTTACCATTTCCTACGTATGATACAACTTAAAACCAAGGAAAGATAATGAGATCACAGTTAATCATTGGCTGGAATAAACATTGAACAATGTTGTACACTCTTCAGTCAATGCCCTAAACTACACTAGAGAATGATAAGGTAAAATGAATTCCCAATTCCCAAGCACATTACTCATTCACTGTAACGCGTAAACTGCCCTCCCCCTGGAGAAAAATGAATAAAAGGCATCAAAGACACCACAACCATCCAAACCATCATAACAGCTTTTGGCTAGATTCTATAACCAATCTATTTAGCATGATTTGAACGGCCGCATCATAATCCCATCATAATGCATACCATCCTCCGTGCACCGGGGACCGCAATGCTCACTCAAACTATGAATATCCAACAAGAAAAATGGCCCACTGTATTGTAACAGCAGCTTACTCCTATTGACCTCGTCACAATAAGCTTGCCAATGAGCATCACTCATCTTCTCCCTCTTTTCTACTGTATTTAACTTCAAATTTACCAGCTTTGGTAACCCGACCCAAAACAGACGGGGCGACCTCCCATTACCCAAAACAGATTCTGGGTAGAAGGGCATCGACATCACCAATGAATCCCTCAGCAGCTTCAGAGAGACACCATAATCTGATGCATCATTCACGTGTAGCATATCCCATAGACCAGACCCCATCACCAGCACATCGGGGAAATTCTTCTTATCTTTCAAACCAAAAACTAGATTTGTCAAGTTACTCACATATGGTGCCCATCTGTAATCAAGCTTTATCCCAAACTCATCCAACCCGATTGTGTAATCGCTGTGCCTTTTAAACAGATCCCCTCTGATCAATTCCATCTCATTTGACCCTAGTAACAACTCCAACAGCGAAACCACCAACAACCTCGCCTGTGAATCCCCGGAAACAATGACCCACAACCCATTCAGCAAATCCAAAGCGCCTTGTCTTCTCAACTTCTGGAATTCACACCGATCCACAAGCTCGGACTTTACCCATTCCCAAGATTCATTGCTGAAAGTGACTTGATGGAGGGAAGAAATGCAAGAACGTGGATTTATTGATTCTGAAGATGATTGAGGAGGAGGGAAACCCGAGGGATAGAAAGATGGGATCAAAGGAAAGTAAGGGGTCAGGTGAACGGAGATAGAGATGGTGATGAAGAGGGCGCAGCTGAAGAAGAGCATCTTGTTGCGACTCAAATGCCAGCCAGCCATACCCAGTGCTACAAAGAGGACCAAGCAAGCCACCATCATTCCCAATTGGATTGCTCCAAACGTGGTATGGTTTTCGTCATTAAGAAAATTAGCTGGATTTCTGATAACTTGCAAACATTTTGATTGGTGTTTCTGGATCTGGGTCGGGGGTCGTTAAGATCAGGCTTTTGATTTATAGGAAAGAGCACATGCATCAAGAAAATGGTGGCGATGATTAGTTAGAAACCAAGGAAGCGTTGATGCTCATAGACTAACCGCACAACTACAGAGAGCGATGGCCTCACCCTAGTGGCTAGTACGCAACTGATTCCGATCACACATCGCAGTGAGAGAGAAATGAGCACCGATCACACATCGCAGTATAAAATTTCATCAACGGAAATAAAAACTCAGAAAGAAAAGGCTGGAATTCAAAACAACGCATACTGAAACGCATAACCTGGGTGGAGATTCAATCAAGCCGCATCGATACACAAAACACACGCACACAGAGAGAGAATAAAACCAAAATAGAATCCAAATGAAAGTAATGAAATCTAGATCTGAAACACATGAATTAAGAACTTGGGATTGCCGGGGAGGGAAAAGTAGTGCTTACATTGAAAGAGAGAAAGAGAACGACAAGGCGACGGCGGCGGCTGACAAGGGGACAGATGAGAGGTGTTTAGAAGCCGGATCGATTAGAGAAATGATAGAGAAACGTAGAAGTGTTTGTTAGGCAATATAACCTTGGACGGGTGCTGATGAGAAAGATTTGAGGTATGAATAAGTATGATCCAATAAACCAGGAACAACCGAAAGGTTTGTTTTTTAACTTATTTTTATTCTATACTCCTGAGCCCTTAAAAAAATTATTTTTTTCATGTTTATTTGTCAAAAAAAAAAAAAGAATACCACTAACATTTATAGAAGCATAAAACCCTACCTATCAGAGTATCAGCATAAGCTTTTGGGTTAGAAAGTAGATCCCGACTCTATATGCAAGTGGTTAATTTTACACAATACTCTACTCGTTGTTCTTGGCCCACCAAAATTTTAACATAGTATCGGAGCAGGTCTGGTCTGGATTCGATTCTTCTTGATTATTTGGATGTGTGTTTAGCAAAATGAGTTACCCATCCGTGGTTTGCATTGAGTTGGCTATAAGAGATTCAAATGTCATCGTCTGTTGTATGGGCTAGCTATAAGAGTTTGAGTACTAGACCCATTTGTCTAAGTGCTAGTTAGGTCAGGCTAGTTACCACTTGAAGGGAGTGATGAAGATTCCACGTCAGAAAATAAAAAAAATACTACTAGCATGTATAGAGAGGTGAAGTCCTACTTATCAATTTAAGCTTTTGAATTAGAAAGTGGACACCAACTTTATATGCATGTGATTAATTTTATCCAATACTCTGCTCTTTGTTCTCGGCCCATCGAAATTTTAACAAATAACAACAACAATATTATTATCATTGTTATTATGATCATTATTATTATTATTATTAATTAATGCAATTTTTCCAACTATCCTCATTTTTTAAATTCCTTCTACTCTCCAACCAATTATTCTAAAATGATACTTCCTCCGTCCTAGAGTATTTGTCCACTTTCATTTTTACACACCATCCAATACATTTCTTTAATCCATTTTATCTTGTAATTTGTATATTAAAAAATTATAAAAATTATATATTAATAATCTATATGTTAAGACAAATCAAACAAGATCACACATGACTATACTTAGGCTTACACATTGAGAGAATTTGATGAGTCAAAGTGCTTAGATAAACAGTTCCAAAAGTCAAAACTGGATGAATACTCCAAGACGGAGGTAGTATATTTTTAATGTGATTATTGTTATTATTATTATTACAAATATTATGTTCATAACTATAATTTATAAATTATTTCATTTTTTTCATATCACTATTTTTACGATTCACATTCATTATTATTTTTCCTTCAACTTTTTAATATTAATAATGCAATTTGTTTGTATATTAATCTTCATGATCAAATTTTTATAAACAATTTTGAAAGTCAAAATAGTTTAGACAAAAAGATTAAATAGGAGTAGTATATATTATAGAACAAAATCTGATACATAGGTTTAGTCAAAATAGTTTAGAGAAAAAGACTATATAATAATTCATATAGGTTTGATTACATTATGTGACATGTCAGATACTAAAAACAAAATCTTGTAATATATAAAGTATTATTATGAATATATTTTTTATAATAAATACTGCATAAATGAATTGAGGTACAACGTAACCACAATAGCTTTTTAAAATTTAATATTTTAATATTTATGCTAAGTTTATATTCTAATTATTTTTTTCGAAAGTAGTTATTTGTGTATGAAAAATATCAATACTTTTTTATCTTAAAGACAATCATTAAGCTAACGTGATAATAATAATGATTAATAATAATAATAATAAATTACAACAACAAGAATTAGAGTAAGAATAATATGAAAATACACTAAATAAATTTTTTTAAATTTTTTTTAGATTTTCCCTTTTTTTAAGTTTTTCCACTTTCATCTCATTTTTTCCAATTTATTTCAGTTTCTTCATGTTCCTTCCAGTTTATTTCAACATCCTCTTTTTTCCAGTCTTAAAGAACAAGCTCTATATATACATGGATTTTCTAACTAAAGTAAAAATACATAATATCGTAATAAGCATAATATGGAAGTTTATAGTATAATATGGAAATCAATAATAATAATACTGTAATAATAATAAAATCTCATATTATCCCATTGCAAGCTGATTATCAGTAACGATAGACAGCTGGGAAGACAAACACTGAATATCGATAAGGCAGAACTTCGTTGCGTGCTAGTCGGCCATGCCATGTTTAAAGTCGATGTGTTCGATTGTTTGACGTTGATAGCAGGAAGGATATAGGGTCGGATCTGAGTGCCAATCATAGATTATGTAGCATACACAGAATTAAGAGATATGTTGGTGGGGATTCTTCTCTTACAATTATCATCCCTGAAAGTAGGAGTCTTGTCCGTGTGAATTGATTATGACTCTGTGTTGAAAGAGATCTGATCCCAAAACATGTGATAGGGGTGATAAAATGATTTTATTTTAGTTTGTTCACATAATCAATACCATAGGAATTTGAGTAGCTTCATTTTGTTATCAATATTTTGATTTTGCATGAATTATTTTCCTTGCACTAAAACCTTAGGTATTAAGGTAAACTAGCATGGTCAAAGTCTAACAAAACTTTGTGTTTGTGCGTGGTACTCCATCCGTTCTTGAAAACTCTTCCGCCTTAATTTTTTGCACATCCTATAAATAATTTTACTCTATCTAAATGTCTTAAATACCTCGCAACAACTTCTACCCGCAATAAACTACCTGATGAGATGTTTTAGACATTTTAGGGGAAAGTAAAAGTATTTTATGAGGTGTGCAAAAAATTAGGGCAAATGTGTTCTTCAATAACGGAGGAAGTATTTTAGAAGCCAACAAGCCAATAGAATTTAACAAAATTAGGGTTTAGAAGGCTGAGGGAGTATATATAGGGACTGCATTAAAAAAGGATACTCTTTTTTTTGTCTTTCACTCCAGAGTATAATTTTTCAATTTCGATTCTACTCCGTAATTCTTAAAACCTATACTTTTTTCTAAACTTAATAAGCCTCCACATTTGGTGTTTCGTTATGATTTCAATTATCTAACAAAATTGGGTGCAAAAATTTGAGTGATATGATACTTGATGAAATGGTATGAAAAAACAATGTAAGTTATAGATGTGAAAACTAAACAAATTTATGGTGTGTTAAGTGAGCAAAAACGGATAGTTTTCTAACAAAAAAGAAATCAAGTTCTTTTAACCGATTTCTTGGTGGGTATATACTCATGCTAAGGTTCTAAACTTAATAAGCTTCCACATTTGGTGTTTCATTATGATTTCAGTTATCTAACAAAATTGGGTGCAAAAATTTGAGTGATATGATACTAGATGAAATGGTATGAAAAAACAATGTAAATTATAGAGATGAAAACTAAACAAATTTATGGGAGAAAAAAACGGATAGTTTTCTCACAAAAAAGAATTCAAGTTCTTTTAACCGATTTCTTGAATTTATCTACGTGAAAAATTACAAAATTTAAAAAATGTGAAATTGTACTGTTAAAATTTATCCATAAGATAAAAAATAATATGATCCCACAACTAATTTTATGTCCTAGAACTATCTTTCCTTTCATTTTTGTTTGTCTCAAAAAAAAAACTTCACATTACTTTTTCTTACATAGACCTCTCTACTAAGTAACACACATTTACAAAAAAAAATTATAATAGAACATGTAGCTTACAAGTTCTCAAAACAAATGAATAATATCCTTTAAACGAATGGGAAGATGGTTTTGGAATGACCAAAAAGAGAAGTTTTGGAAGATATTTTAAAGCAGAGAATTTTAAATTCGACAAACTGAAATGCGTCAAAACTTACACGTAACAAAATTTTAAATAATGCATTATTTGTCATATAAACATGTATGTATTATTTACCCGAATATAAGGTCATACGGAGTAACTTTCAACTATATGCTTCCATAATGAGCTACCAACTTTGTATCCTTATTGATTGTTTTAATGCTTTTATCTTAGTACTAGTTATTTACCCCGTACTTTGCACGGGCTCGTATAATCTCAGATAAAATATATCAATAAATTCAAAGTTTTTTAAATGAATATATGATTCATAAATTTTAATTATACAATTTTCACTATATCTTAAGGTGTGTATGTAAGTAGGAAGAGTTTTAATAAAAAGGAAAAATAGTACATAGTACAAAAGGAGGGACATCCTCAACAAATCCCCTCAAAGGAAAAAAAAGCAAAAGAAAAGATTAAACCTTAAAAAAAGTATAAGAATGTTAACATCCCAAGCCAGTCGTAGTGCAGGCTAACCAACCTGCTGAACACGAAATCTTAAAAAATGAAGTCATGTTTTCTCGCATCAGAAGTCTCAGGTACTCCCTCTATGCAAAGACTTTCTATGGGGATCCTCACCTGATTATAGAAGAACCTCATTAGTCTCATGGGAGGACCTATGCAGGCCAAAGACAAATGGAGGTTTAGGGCTCAAAAATCTAACATTATGGAATAAAGCTAGCATCATGAAGATGATTTGGGACATATCTTTAAAGAAGGACATATTATGGATCAAATGGATCCACAACAAATATCTCAAGGGATGTAGTATTTGGGACTGTCAGATTCAAAGGGATTCCTGCTACTACAGGAAAAAAACTCCTGCAAATTAGAGGGTGCTTCACCAATATGATTTGCAGCAGTGCCTACACACTTAAAGCAGGCTATATATGGCTTGTGGGGGATTTTCATAAGGTTCCATGGAGTAACCTGGTATGGAACAAATTCTCCATCCTGAAACACAAATTCATTATCTGGTTAATGTATAGGGACAGATTGCAAACGAAGAAAAGAATAAGCAGATTCCTCCCTGTTGATCCTCAATGCCATCTTTGCAACCAGGAGGAAGAAGATAGTCATCATCTGTTCTGTAGATGTTCTTTTGCCAAAGAGACTTATCAGCTGATCTCTACATGGGCTCAATTTGACTTCCAGGCCAAGTCCATTGAAGAGATTACCCAACGTATTACCAACATCTCCCCAGCTAAGAGAAGATTGAAGATAGCTGCCATCTTTGCAGCTTGTGTATACAACATCTGGAAAGCTAGAAATGAAGTTCTCCACAAGAACCTCCCTACTACACCTGGAGCAGTCCGCCAAAGAATTCACACTCATATGACCATCTTTCTCAACTCTAAAGGAATCATTATGGAATAGCCATATAATTTGTAACCTAACTAGTTTATGATTATTAGTAGGTTTGTGGTTTGTTTCTAAACATGATGATGTACGTATATTTTCCTTGAGGAGTGAAATATATCTTGCTTTCGGTTCAAAAGTCTCAGGTACTGCCACCAGATAAAGAATATGAAGAAAAATCTGAGAACCAAATAACTCTCCACCTCCTTCAATAAAGAATAAGAGGGAAAATCTGCAGCATCTTGCAAATGTTATCCTTTCAAGCTATTGCCAAAACTTTCATCATAAGCAATTTCTAATGTGGACTAAGTTGCAATCTAAAACTCTACCCAAAGTACGTATAGTAGCCAATAAGTTGCTTCTAGAAATAGGCAAGTAAGAAAGACAGAATTGGCTAAGGTATTGTCATTAGCCCTAATGTGTAGCCACATACCAGCATAAAAAAAAATCCACACAGCCACACAGGAGATGGTAATTTAATCTCAATGCAATATCATCATGGTAGAGCAGTAGTATAATCAGAAGCTAGCTCAAAGGAATTTAAACTATGTAATAATATATTAAGAGGTAACTCAAAGAAATATTGTATTAATCCAAATGCAACAAAAACATTAAAAAGAATAACTAACTTCATACAGCTAAGTAAAAGTTAGGAGGAAAAACCAAGAAGAGCACCTCTCATATTACCTTTTAGAGCTTTCTTTATGGCTTTCCTTTTTTCTTATCTTTTAGAGCTTGAAGTGCAATATCTCTAGTTGCTTGCCTTATCGTTTTTGGACATGAGCTCTTAAATATCCACAAAAAAGATCCTCTGCAAAATCATCTTCACTCCAGGTCAATGTGCTATCCGCTAGAGCTTTGGTGAGGGGGAGTATGTCCTCTTATAGAGTTTAGACATCATCAAAGATCATTTCCAACTCCTCCGGTAGTCCATTTCCAATGCTTCTATAAGAGAGTGAAGATAACACAAATTACACGGGGAAGATAACAGGATGAAGTGATCATGTATAAACACTTAGATTACAAAGGGTATACAATCATGAAAATATAGCTTCAAAGAACCATGATGTTACATCTTGTTGACTGAACAACCAAGTGGAAATGCAATCAGTCGGGAAATTGTTATACAATCAAGCAATATAAATACTAATCTCTTCACCAACCTCTTCACCAGAGGCATAAACAAATGGTGCAAATTGAATTGTATTATGCCCGACCAAGTATAGCTGCGATCTTGCAGAAGGAGAATACATGGGGGAAAAAATCAGCACAACAAAAATAGACTAAGTTATTCCCCTTCAAAAGTGCTCACTGTTTTGGGGTAAATATAAAATTATTAATGCTAACCTGCATCATCTATAGTGAGCAAAAACAATGAGTAGTATAAGCACCCGACAAAATGGAAAACTTGAAGTTAACAGACCTGAAGTTAAAAATGGCATTCTCATGGGCGGCTTATGGCTATTAAAGGAAGCAACAACTAAAGCACTTACCTTCTCTATTTACTTGAGTACATCATTTTGATATGCCTCATTCCCCACCTTTGCTGCCTTCCAACTTTAATGTGTGGATCACATCACCATTATAATTTTCAAGGCCAATTAGTTTGTATGTTTCAAACTTCATATCACCACTACAAATGTAAATAATAGAACACCAATTTAACAATTTGACTATTCCCTTCAAAGATCTTTAGAGTGCAGTACTCTGTGTGTGATTCGTAGGGGAAATAACACCATATGTGAACTATTTTTAAAATAATAAAATCTTATAAGAATATCAATACAATAAACGTTGAGTCTGTATATATACTTCTAAAAAATAGTGGCTTAGTGATATCAAGGGGCACATAATCCTATCATGGGGTTGGATAATAATAATAGTAATAACAACAACAATAATAATAAGTGACGATGAATCAATTTTCTAGGCCTATGTATTCGAATAAAATATGATGAATAGTTGTATATTTTACTTTAAGTGATGAACAATCATCAGTTTTCTACTCTAAGCTATGAAAAATTATAAGTACGAACAAAAGGTGAGAATATTCCTAACTCATTATTTAAAAATTAAATATTTGACTCAAAATAGGAATATCCACAAACAGGATATATAATTGTATAAAACTCTTATAAGAAAATCAATACTTGAATAATGTGGTGTTTATAAGGTCTTAATAAAAAACTATCAAATAAAAGGAAAAATACTCATTTAGACATTTTCTCAAACACTTTAAATGTTCTACTTTTAACTTTAATAAATTCATGAAACAAACTTCAAAATTTGCAAATATTCAATAATGTAAACAAAAGTTAAATGATAACATGTTAAAATCAATTATTTACAATATGCGTATTTTTTAAAACAATAATAGTACTCAAGTGTACTCAAGGTAAATGTCTATAATGAAATAGTTCTTGCCTATGTGAAAAAAAAGCTTACATATAGGTTTATGAATCAATGGGGTAAAAAAAGAGCTTGTGGCATTACCAAGGGGTGGATGCGGCAAGATTCCAATGGTCGATAGTGTAGCTTCATCGTTCGTCTTTGAAAAGAGCAGAGAATATATTGAACTGTCTGTTAAAGAAGCATGATATATTTTCTTATTTTTCTGCAAGGGGGCCGAAGGTTGTTGTCACCTCTTCCTAGTTCCTACTATCTGGAACTACAGCAACAGTGTCTATTGCCGTCTTAGGTCTCCAAGCAAGGTGAAGGAGAGGAATGGTCAGGGTAGTAATAAAAGTTGGAGAGAAGGGAGTGGGAATGTGAAAATGATGGAATAGCAAAACCCAACTTCACGTCCACGAAGTCTACAAAGATAAGCTGACCTAGCATCCTACTTGAAAAGATCTTCATTTCGCTTTCAGAAATATATTGAATTTTTTTCTAGTGTTGTTAAAAATATAAAAATTACGTAGTACAATCCTGAACTTGAGATTGGAGAATTAGAAAAAAAAACTTTAAAAATTATAACACCAATCATGTTTTTGAAAAAAATAACAGTAAACAATAGTATAGCCACTCACCCTCAGGTTATTTGCTTTGAATCCTTGCTGAATCCAGCAAACCTTTTGTCACTGTGAGGGATGTCAATACCACCCACCATTTAATGCTCCCTGAAACTAACATTAAAAATTGAACTCTCCACCCTCGAAGTATATAACACGGATCTTTTAGTTTAGTATAGTCAATAAATCAGTGCATAGAAAAAAGCAAACCAATGTCTTTATAAAGTCCAAACACATGGTTATCATTAAAATATACAAACAAATTATTTTACCTTAAGAGGACCAAAGACCAAATTAAGAGTGGTAAGTCGGATAAAACCTACATCCAAAGAGCATCAAAAGATCTCCTACTCTCACCATGTTCAACATAAAAATAATCTGCATTACCCTGAACAAAACAGTTAATTTGCATTTTAGTATTCTTCATTTAGGCCTAACAATCCTAATAGTACATTACAAAGGTAAAAAAGAGGGGGAAATGTAAATGGAGTATTAAATATCTCCCCGGAGTATGAAAAAAGAATTATGGATGTGCTAGTAGTGTGATGCTTAATTGAAAGTGCAACACAACCTCTCTAATCATGAAGGAGGAGTTTAGGATTTTTCATACGATTTGCAAAAACTAATTTATCATACAATTCAAATACCGTAAAAAATCATTCAATTTGAATCAAACCCTAGGTCCAAGTAAATCGGGCTTGGTCCACGAGGGAGCCCAAGAAGCAAACCCTAACCATAGGGTTCTCCCATACACTTATAAAAGGGCACCACTTCCAAGAAAAAGGGATCTGGTCTAGGCCACAAAATCCATCTCTACTCTATTCTACATTGTATATTCATCTTCTCCTCTAGGGATTATTACAAGGATCCCGAAAGGAAATTTCAGACGACAATTTAGGCCCTTCTAGATGGTTTGAGAGGCTTAGCTCATCTATCAGCTCCTCCTGGAAGCCGTTTGTCAAGGCTGCATTGATGCTGCTTTGCATGGACCATTGGCTGTGATCATGCATCAGATCTGCACCATCCTTGAGCTCCTTTTTGGCGCGGAGCAATTCAACATCTTGTTGTGCAGGGAGTCAAAGGTTTTCCTCATAATGAGCCTTCATCACCTGTAACTTCTCTTCGGCATATGTTTTTTTTCAAGCTCATCTTTGGCCTAGGCTTCTCGTTCCTCAGTGTGTCCACAATCTGTGCCACGGATTCCACCGCCTTCTTCTTGGCTTGAACAACCATCTCTTCTGAAACCACTAGAGTGTATGGGCATTGGGCAGTCGCCTAATCACCCTTCAACTGAATCAAGGTTGATGAAATACCAGTATATTGATAATATTTGTTTGGCCATTTTGTTCTTTTCTGATTTTTGGAGCTTTTCCATTGTTGATGCGCAATATTGTCATAGTTTAGCTGCATGCACTATCATCACTACCAACATTGAGTTGTCCAGTACCTAAAGATGGCCATTTGTCCATGATTAGTGAGGTTTATTTGCCTTACAACAACAACGCAGTATAGTTCATTAGTTCCAATTATGAAAAGGTCTGGGAGGTCAAGATGTATGCAACTTTACTCCTGGAAAATGCAGAGAGACTATACGAGACTGTTTTTGTTAGACCCTTTATGCATTGCTGCCTTTACTACCCAAATCTCTATCAAAGGTAAAAAGTAAAAGAAGTTTAATGCACCATTTTGATTTAGTCAATTATTTAGCTGAAGCTAAAACATTGTCAATTACGACTCATTTAGCTCCGCTGGCAATGGACCTAAAATTATAGGGGAGTGGCCAAACTTTAATTTGCCTTACAAGTTACAATACAATTTTATATTTTAAGCTCTTGGGATACCTAATGGATTCTTCATTTAATTTTGCAGGAGCTTGGATTTCAATGTGATAAGAGTAAAGGGGAATGCCGTGCTAAATTTGCTTGCCATATGGACTGTTTTGCATGGGCAAAGCACGATAGTTATCTGCCACCAGGCTGTCATGGTCTAAAGGTGCCATTGCGTTCATTTTTTTGATTTCATTGGATCTCTGTTTGTTCATGTTAAAATTCAACTGATCGCTACACTAATATCCAAATAAGGTTGAAGTGTTATCTCGTTAAATACAATTTTTGGAACCATTTCCCCCAAGAATGTTCATGATTTTTAAATTTCAACTTTTGTAAGGCTTCTGATTTAGATGTTTCTCGCATTTTATATGAAGGATAACCACTAAATGTTTGACAATTTCATATATCCTTTGTTTATTTCAAATGTACCCCTGCATGTTTTCAATGTTTTGTTTTGTTTTGACTAGAGAGGCTAGATATCATTTTGATCGGCTAAAACACCAGAATGTGATAGGAAACAAAGAGTAGCAAATCAATAAGATAATTTTATTAAAGGGAACCACAGACAGAAAAGGCGATTTAGAAGAACCCTCCAAGAGCTTTAAAGGAACCCCCCTGCTATAATTTTTCTTGCCCATCCAAAGCTAAAACCTTCATGTCTTTCTTCCTGAGAGAAGGCCTTTTTTATATACTGTCCCTGTCCCAAAAAGAATTTCTTACTTTGACTTCACGAAAAATAAGTAAAGTGCTGAAAAGATATTTAAAAATGTTGAATAGTGAGAAATGAGTTGTTTGTATTTGTTTAGAACAGAGAAAAGTAGTTTGGATCACATTCTTTTCTTTTAAGATAAAAAGTAAGAAATTTATTTTGGGACGAATGAAAACGAAAAGTGGGAATCCCTTGTGGGACAGCGGGAGTAAAAGAGAATTGTCATTAATGAGCACAAATCAATAATTTTTCAACTTGATTAGCTCTTTTATTTGATGCTTTCCATTTTTAATGCTTAATAAGATTCTGTGTGTACCATTGCTGCCCATGGTAAAACAGTGTTGGGAGAATAAAGGAAGTTATTTCTTCCATCAATCAGCTTTTAATAGGGGCTGGTGTTCATGAACTAATGCATTAAGTCTCTGGTGACTGTTGGGGTTTTGCGTGTGGCTCACCCTCATGGTCATGGAATCCAACCACTTAACTTCAGAGAACTGCTATTTAGAGAGAGGCAAACGTCTTAGTATGGGTGTTGACACCTTAAAACGTGCATCTGTAATTTTTTTCCGAACTCAAAGTATTCTTTCATTCAAGTAAAAACACCCATATAGGCATATACATCTCAACTGATCATTTATAGATCATGAAAACCCAATATAGAGGTGATTTGGACCCAACATCAGTATGCACTAAATCAAATGGATGTGCAACCTGATCTCTGGCTCTATTTGGAACAATCATGAGGTTTCTTTTCAAGACAACATGACTCAAATGGTAGAGACTCCGAGTAGAAACATACTTCCTCCATCCATAATTTGAGTTTTCATTTGCTTTTTACCGGAGTTAAAGAAATGTGAAAATTGTGCGGAGATTTATACAGAGGAGAGAAATAATATGAATCTCCATTTAGTCTTAGACAGGCAACTACAGACTTAGATCCAGTGCACTCTCTGCTGAGATTTCCTCTATATAGTTTTATTGAGTTAACAATTTCATGTGCCAGGCTGTTACAAAGGCCAAGTTGGGGTATGATCCACTGGAGGTCAATCCAGAGGATTTGGTTTGCTTTTCAAAGGAAATACCACAGGTAATAGCTATAATAATGATAAACTGACAACACCAGCATATCTGGATATCTGTTTTACTGGCAATATTATCATACATTCATATCCCTTGTGGCTTGCGCAAATACACTACATGCAAAAAGTACTAGAACTGGTTTTATAAATACAAAAACAGGTTGTTAGGAAAACGGTAAATGACTTTTTCAATCAGATTAGAGTACTAGTAAGGAGCATCTGGTGAAACTAATAATAGAAAGGTATGGGAGTATATTTTAGCAGTGATTAAAATTTCCTATTGATATAGTTCGAGATATACACTGCTTGCTGCCAATAAAATCTCCATTCTAATTCATCAATACATACATAAAATAATAAATATATGATGAACTGTCAGTCACACTACATTATTGTCTACAAAATGTTATTCTTTCATAATTATACTTGTGATTTATTTTCTTTTCAACTAATACATTGTTAATCTGTATTCTTACATTTTGCCTGTGTGATATTATACTAATGATACTTTCTTGCATGTTTCAATTTTTTTTCAGATGATAGCCTCTTATTCTGTTTCTGATGCTGTTGCAACTTATTACTTGTATATGACTTGTGTACACCCGTTCATTTTTTCTCTTTCAACTATAATTCCAATGCCACCAGATGAAGTATTGCGTAACGGAAGTGGCACTCTCTGTGAGATGCTTCTCATGGTCCAGGTTGGTGAGTGCATACTAGTTTCATAAAATTGCCTTTTTCTTTTGTTCTTCTTACAAAGTCTTAATTTACTTAGGTGCTGTTCTATTCACCTTGGTCTTTTATATATTTACTGAATCTTATTTTTATTTGATCTCACAAGAAATATACAAAAAAGATTCATACCAGATATTATATTTATCGGAAGAGATCCTAAACATTCAGACTAGATCAGACTCGATCATAAATTATTTAGATAAGACCACATTTTAAAGTGAAGAGAACAGGCCCTTATTTCCGGGGTTGGTGCCTTTGGGCTTCTCATTCTAAAAAAATAAACTGAAAATAATATTTTGCACACGAACATATTTTAAATGTCTCTTCCTCTTAGACTAAAATGTTCCACCTTTCTTGTCAAATATGGAGTATAAGACCTAATCTTATTAATCCTTTTGCCATTCATTCTCTCTACTAACTGGCCTATTCACGGTTCCATACTAGGGTTGTGGTTATACATAATACTCCCTCCCAAGTTGGAGCATAATTGTTAACTATAAACTTCATCACTTGAGAGATGAAAGAACATCTTGTGTTCAATATAGACCATACTTTTATCTATACAACAATCATAATATGAGATGTCGGTGTAAGTATTTTAAACACAATCTGTTATTATTACTACACATGCTTCACAACTCCCCCCCCCCCCAAAGCTAGAACTGTGTACATCATAAACTCATAAACTTCGAGCTTCTAATTGATCATTAGATCCAACAGAGGTCCTTACTACTTCTGCACAGGGAACTTTCTATTGATCAAAACTACAATCAATTTCAACATGTTTGCTCTTATGTGAAAAATGGGATTAGATGCAATATGTAAAACAACTTGATTGTCACAGATTGAAAATGGGTTTCATTAGTTTTAGTTGGCTAAATTTCTAAAGTAAATACTTTATTTTAACCAAATTACCTTACCTGCCTTGCACTTGACCAAGCAACAATGTCTTTCTTTTTACTCACCCAAGAGACCAAGCTTTCCACTTCTCCCCAAAGAAGATGCAATGGCCAGTTGTTGACAGAAAGCCACAAACTGTACAGTACATCTGGTGACATTTTATAATTAAATGATTGCTCATTTTTCCTCTAAAGAATGATCATTTCCTTTTCTCTTCTCATGTTTATTTTTATTATGCCTATTCTCCATTTAGATAATGCTCAATTGAATATGACTTTTGCTCATTTTGCTTTAAAGAATGCTCATTTGCAAAGGGTATCTCTGGATGTAAGATATACGTACTGAGATTTTGACCATCTATCCCAAAGATATCCTACATTTCTACCCAATCTGTGACTTTATCACCATCTTCAATGTTTCTATAATAATTTGTAGACAATATCTCAAATTTCAATGACATTTAAATAGAGACATTAAAAACTGAATCATAATAATGACAATAAATGAGAAATTGAATGAGTTACCATCAAACATAGCATTTTCCCCACTTGTTTGTGGTATCTTCTAGGTTCTGGCATAAGCTTCCCTTGACATGGTAAGAGCTAAACATTGGGATCTATAAGGTTGTCAATAAGCTTAACCATGTTTTTTCCAACAAATATAGATGTGATGTGCAAATTCCCTTTTTTTTTAACTCATCTCCTCCTTTCAGAAAATCAAATCATCTCCTGTAATAAGTGGGGAAAAAGCAGTCTAGGCTGTTGACACTGCCCTAATTTTTGTTTAGTTGGTTGAGAAAATTGGATAAACAATTAGCTAGCGGCTTGGCACGCGGGTTTCTAGGCCAACCAACTGGCCAGTTACGTACTTTCGTGTGGGCTGTTCTTTTTGTTTTTTTGTTTTTGTTTTTCTGCTCCTCAGGCTCTATGAGGTAGCTAGGTTTTTAGTGTAGTTGTATTCATTTATTCCTTAATTTATACGTTGATAAATTCTCATCCTTTCTTGATCTTGTATATGTTTTACCTTTACTTTGACGTAATGGACTTTGTTTTACCTTTACTTTTACTTAATGGAGTGTTCAAAATTATTCTTTTGCTCTCAAGTGAGTCGGGAGGTTTTTCAGGAACAACTTTCTACCTTTGTAGGCAGGAGTAAGGTCTGCATACTCCCACCCAAAAACCCCACTCATGGGATTTTTCCGGGTAGGTTGCTGTTGCTGCTTCTCCCAGACAACATCATTCAATCATTCAGCATTTAATTACAACACAAAACATTAATTCTATAGAATACAAAATTGCTTTTAAGAAGTTATGAGCTATTTTTATAAACAAAATGATACAAAATTGCTGCTTCTCCCAGACAACATCATTCAATCATTCAGCATTTAATTACAACACAAAACATTAATTCTATAGAATACAAAATTGCTTTTAAGAAGTTATGAGCTATTTTTATAAACAAAATGATACAAAAACCCAGTCATAAATAAAACAAAAATAATAAAAATAAAAAAATAGAGGCCTATGCCTCTTCCCTAAATGACATGGTGATAGGTATGGGTGTAGCATGGGTGTTAAAAAATGGAATTACTGGTGTGCTAGAAAAGTAAAATTTTTTGTACAAAGTTTTTCAAAATTTTTATACACATAAAAAGGCTTTTTAGCTGAACTTAGGATGGGTTGGGGCCTGCGCTGGTCCCTTTGCTATGCCACTAACTCTATGTTTGGATATACCTTCCATTCTTCTCCAAGTTTCCACTTGTGAATCCATAATGTCAATCCCTTCAAGCTCATCGGACCAAATTGGTGGTTAAAGAAGCTTGAGATTATTTTAGAAGGGAGTTTCAGAATGAAGGTAAGACAGAGGAAGATAAACCAATGCTACATATTGTATCCCTCAAGCAAGAAATTGTTCTTGCACAGACCCTAGTGCTTTCATTGATATGCAACTATGTGATGTCTCCTTCTCTATTAGGGGGTCCATATTTATAGTTCAACAACAATACCAAAACAAGAATATGAAATACTCTGCCATCAATTATGTTGGAATTAGATAAAGAAGAACACTGCGAAGCAGTGTTAAACGAAGAACTTGATAGTATAACGAATCGCGTATGAAACGCTTTCAGATCAAAGTTATTTCGGGGTATACGAAATACTTCAATCGGATAAGACGTTAATCAAGAACGAGCACTCAAGAATATGTCACTCAACCCATACCACGAGACTCTATTTTATAGAGTCGAAAATCCTTGTGATCGGACATGAACGTTCGCGTAGATGTACGCGTACGTTCGCGCGAGGAAGAAGAAAGGTGCGAGTTTGAACGAAAGGTCTCCTGCGGTTTAAGGCTCAATTTCGACGTTTATCCATTGTGTACGAGTCCTTTACCGTTTTGGACTCCGATCACGAAAATCTTAAGGATTTTCTTAAAGAAACAACGTCCGAAATAAAAAATTTCCAAGCTGTCCCTTCGACCCCGGCCAGAGGCTCTGCCCCTTGGACCCTGCAAGGGGCTGCCACACCTTGGACCCCGCTACCCGGGGGCTGCCGCCCCCCGGACCCCTGCTATCCCGGGGGCTGCCGCCCCCGGACCCCCGCAGTGAATTTATAATATCGTTGAACGAGCGTGCACTCCGCGCCTCCTAACTCGTTTGACAACGTCTATTTAAATTCTTGTCCGATCGAAGTAAATCCAATTACACAAAATAAATCGATGACACTAAAATCACCAACAAATTACACCGTTAATTATTCCCTGCACATGATTGGTTCCTTTGAACCTAACTACACATGCAACACGTCTGTATCACAAAATAACTTAGAAAAATGCATTGTAGAGCCCTTGGAGCAAGTTTGCTTGATTTGTTTTTGTGAAGATCCTGTACAGAAAAGATACATCCATATATTTTAAGTAGAAATGAAAAGAGAGGTCTTGATGGGTAGAAAAGAATCTGAAGTCTACCTTTAAGAAGTGAAAAAGGCAGTCCGTCCACAAGGAAAATACAATGGTAAACAACATCAAGACAAAAACTCTCTGTAACTCTCATATGGAAGAACTAAGATGTTTGTGATGTCCAACATGACAATTCATATGTTGCGTATGTCATTTTGTTGGGATGCTTACACAAGAGGACTGGGAATGCTTTCCTTTCGAGCCGTGAACCAAAAGTTGCCTAATTTGCTCATACCTCTACAATTCCCAACTAATTTTGTGGTCTTTTAGAGCTTCAAGAACACGTTGAATGCAAAATTTAGATTTATTTTTGCTCAAGTAATGGACATGACAATTACTAATATCTCAACTTATCATTGCTTGTGATATTTCTATGCATGTGGGTTGTGGAAGTAATATATGATGATGACGGTTTTAGAATTGCTCTGATTATTATTCCTTCTTAAGAAGGTTGTGAGAGAAAGGGCATCCTACTTAAAGCAATGCCCTTATGTTTTTTTTTGAATGAATTCATAGTGTTAAGTATTTTTATGCAACAACAACAACCCAGTTAAATCCCACAAGAGTAGGGTTTGGGGAGGGTGTGTGTACGCAGACCTTACCCCTACTCGAAAGTAGAGAGGCTGTTTCCAAAGAGACCCCCGGCTCAACGTCGAAAGTTGCATTGCTTGACTAACTGCTATTTAATTAATTAAAGAAGCGCAGACAGTTTAGAGATCCATTTTGATTTATTCCATCACACCCCAAAGCCAAAAAATGGTGAAATTTTGGCTCCATCGGAGATGATGGAAAATGTTATGTATTTTTATGCAATTAATTATAATTTATAACTATAGATTTAGTGCCATGATTCAACTTGTTGCATGAATGAATCCCAATATTCCCTTAGAGATAAGGGAAACGAAAAAGGGCAAACTTCAAAGGGAAAAGAAAAGGGCAAACTTCAAAGGAAAAAAAAGGTTTTGGTTATTGCAGATGAAGATGAGGAAAGAGATGATGCATACACGTATGAGGATGATGATGTGCGTATTAGTGACTTAGATGACATTGACGTAGAAGTTGATTTGAACCATCTGATTATGATGATGATCATTGACAATTTGCCATTTTAGATTTCAACATTATGTTAAATTTTTTAAAAACATTTAGACACCTTTTTTGTTTGAATGTGGTATGAAATGTTTTGCACTTTAAACACGGCTGTATATTGCTAATTGTTGTGCACTTTTACGTTCCAACTTCCAAGTGTCAAGACTAAGTATTAAAAAACTTCCATGATTTTCATGTTATTTTATTGTTTATTTGCTTTGTGATTTTTTTTGCACAAAATCTGTGATTTGATTTGTGATTTAAACCAAATTCTTCCCTCACAGATTTTGTGTTATTTTTCATTTAGATAAGTTTAGATATAATGCTGACTCAAAAGTGTATATCTTCAAAACCAAAAACGATTATTCTAGTTGTGGTAAATGAAAAAAAGAGCAGATGATGATTGATGGGGGAGGAAAGAAACAAAAAATAACAGAGGAAGATTGAAGCAAATCGAAAAGTAATGAATGAGTCAATTAAACAAATCAAGACTAGAGAGTGGATGGTTACCTGAGAATGAGGTGGTATATATTTTCTGTACCAGTGCACCATACATAGACACATAGATTACATATATCAAATGGGTCTTATTTGCAGGCATACAAGGGAAATGTTATCTTCCCAAATAAGCACCAACCAGATCCCGAGCATTTCTACAACAACCAACTTTTTGAGAGTGAGACAGTCATAGGTGGCCATGCGGAATGCCTAGAAAGTGGTGTTTTTAGATCTGACCTTCCAACTAGTTTCAAACTCAATCCATCTGCTTATGAGGTGAGCTGCATTGTATAAATTATCAATGGCTAAATTTTCTTTTCATTTTTATAGAGGTGTTGAGTTCTTGAGAACCTCTCTAATGGATCTGAGTTTAGAGGTTATTATCTACTTAAGCATTATTTATTCATATCTCACAACACATCATTTAAAATGTTACATCTAGCATAGTGTCATGGAAATTTCATTAGTAACAATTCATTGACACTTATTTTATCATTGCAAAGTTCTTTACTAGCTATATGCTTTCACTGAACCGTTAACTCCACTTGCAGCTTTCAAACCTTTTTTTTGTATATTTTGTTAGAAATAATTATTGAAAAAATATTAGTGTATTGATTTCTCCAGTTCACACTTCACAATGAATAGACTATATATAGAGAGATTCGAGATTCTTCTAATTATTGCAGGCATCAGATCCTACTATAACTCTTTTCCTAACATTGATCTAGCTTCTAAACTATGGAATGAAATAAATACAAATACTCCGTAATATAATAACTTCGCTCCGTTAATTGCTCCACTTTGTCTAACAGATTTTTTGTTTCTCTTAATGGAATACTCAGGATGACATGTTCTTTTTTTGCAGCAACTGATGAACAATCTTGATCGGGATCTACAGTATGCTATAAAAAAAGATGGGAACATTGACCTGGAAAATGTAATAAACTACAATGAAGTGAAGGATGCAATCACCAAAAAGGTAGTGTTTCTTTGAATAAAGACAAAGAAATACTCCCTTTGTCCCATAAAGAGAGTCCTATTTCTTCAATGTACACATTTTAACTTTTGGTGAGGTGCAACTAGGGGTGGGTCAGGTCATAGTTTTTTTGGCATCGGAACCGGTTGTGCTGTCAACTCCTGTTCGCTGTGCTTGTTGTGCTGTCCCAATGACAATCTCGCCATTGCTACTAACCCTAACTGTATTGTACCAGAAATTTTCCTATTTTTTAAAAATCAATTTCATGTAATACTATTTTTCACTTATGATTAATAAATGTATGAATATTTCCTTTTTCTGATTTTATAAAGTATCAACAACTATTCCTTTCATTTTTCCCAAAAAAAAAATCCAAAACCGGTTGGAATCAGAACCAAACCGGAAACCACCAGTACCAGAACTAACCCCCTACCCAGTTCTTATTGTGGTTTTGTGCCCCCTTGGGATCGGGACCGCCAGTTCCATAATCGGAACTAGACCCGGCCACACTGCTCAGCTCTTTGTGGGACTAGTGAAAATCATCAAATATAGATATATTGTTCAAGTTTTTTTTTGTTACTTTCACTAAATTTAACCCATTTAACTTGTTTGTCATACTTTTTTATATGAAAACATTTGATATGATGAAAATTTAAAAAATCTCTTCAAATTTGACTCTTTATGAGACAAAGATATCTTAAGAGGGCTCTCTTTTTGGGACAAACACAGAGAAAGTATAATATTTTTGTCTCGTCTCTGTTTACATACTTATTGTAAGTTAGGAATAAGACATCAACAATAACAAACTCAGTATAATTCCAAGTTTTTAGGGTCTAGGAATCGAGATGTGTGCAACGTCAGTGCATTAAGAAATAGATGTGGTTATGTTACACCCTTGAAACATTGCTGCATTAGCGTCCCAAAACTTCATAGGAAGTAAGAAGCAAGTGAAGTTCAATGTCCATTATTTACATGAGGCTAAAACTTTGTCAAAAAATTATGATTAATTCTGAATTTCATTATATTGAGAACTGGTCATATGTGACAATTTATAGCAAAATTACAAGAGGATAAGAGAGAAACTAACACATTCCCAAGCACAACAACAACAACAACAAAGCCACTATAATTCCAACTCTGTTAACTCCGTTGGGTTTGGGTGGTCAAAATGTACACAATCTTACCCCTAAATTAGTGCACAATATCCAGAATGTATTATTTGCCTCAGTTCAGGAGATTACGCATTGGTTCCCTTAATTAATCTACACGTAATATGCAACACATCTACAATATGCTCAGACACATGCATAGAAAGAGAGACTAGTGTCAACAGTGTCAGCACACTATTACTTTCTACTTCATTTTTTTTGGATGTCAAATTGCTTTATAGTGCTTGTTGAAGTAAAAAATTCTGCCTGGCTAGCTGCTGATACTTTTTATTCTACTTGTGCTTGATAACACAACAAATTGCAAAAAGTAGCTCATGTAGTTAATTTTTTTCAACTCTGTCCTACATGAGCTAGGCCTCATGGTGTTACGTTTATACTATTATTTGTCATCATTCATTACTGTTTAGTTTATTTGTAAGATTATGCTGTAAATTGAGGCACATGATGACTTAATCTCTATTTTGCCATCATTCATGCAGCTTAAGGACTTACACGATGAACCTATACGTGAAGAAAACCCTCGTATATATCATCTTCATATGGCAGATTTGTGTCCGAACATCATACTGACTAATAGGCTTCAAGTATGCCGATCATGCAACTTCACTGATTTGTTTTGTTCATACTCTATTTCTGCATGCGGCATCTGTTTTCGGGGATTATTCATTACATAAAATCATAATACAATTTTCTAGAAAAAAGGTGCGTTCATTCATTTAGTGAATAATCTAGTAAGAAAATTTGAAATGAAATAGAAAACAGAATGCAAGCCTTCAAAACAAACACACAGGCGAAAAGACAAAATGCAATACACATATTGCTCTGCTGTTTAGCTTTCTATTCTTGGCCAACTAGTTTTTGTATCTTACCCTCTCTCCATCCCTAAATTAACTTTCCACTTTCCTTTTTCAAGATGTTCCAAAATAATGTCATCATTCCTTTTATGGCAAGAATTGTGTACACAACAACAACCCAGTTGAATCCCACAAGAGTATTGTCTGGGGAGGGTGTGTGTAGTTTGTACACAGACCTTGCCCCTAGCCCCTTACTCGAAAGTAGGGAGGCTGTTTCCAAGAGACCCCCAAATCGACCAGTAAAATTAATAATTGTTAATAAAAGGTTATAAAAGCAATAGAAGATATACAAGTAATAAAAGATCACAGGATGGCAATAATTGTCTGGTTAATATTATTTCTCCTCCACACAAATCTCAACCACACAATTTCACCCTTTCTTAAACTACTTGAAAAAGTAAAAGGGAACTTAATTTAGGGACGGAAGGAGTAATAGTGTAATGCTACCATACCCTGATGTAACTGCATATTCAAATATCAAACTTTTCTCTTTTTCTCAAGTGAGCATGCAATTACTGCTCAGTCACCATATTATGCATCAACGTTGTTTACTAATTTGATTAGTACTTTTGCACTTGACATGAAATACTTTTTTTTACCATCAGCCTCCGTCAATAGTTACAGATGAGGTATGCACTGCTTGTGACTTCAATCGTCCCGGAAAAGATTGTCTCCAAAAGCTGGAATGGGTTTGGTGTGGGCAGACATACACGGCAAATAGAAAGTATGATTTGTCCTTCACTGATTATTGTTGGCAGCATACCATGCTGGACTGCTGTTGGTTCTTTCTATTTTTTGAATCATCAAATTTCAGGGACTACTATACTCTACGGAGAGAACTTGAGTCTGAAACTGTCGAAGGAATTGATGGTCAATCACAAAAAGAATTTCTTGACCTGCCTGAATCAGAGAAACAAGCAAAACTGAAAGACCGCTTAAAGATATATTGCCGAAAGGTATTTATCCATGGTGTGGAATTCTTACCTGAGTTCTCAGGAACCAATTTAGCTTTTTCTGTATATTTAGACATATAAAAGAGTGCTAAACAAACCAGTTGTTGAGCTCCGAGAAGCAGGGATCTGTATGCGTGAAAACTCTTTTTTTGTTGATGCAGTGCACATGTAAGATTCTTTAATATCATCTCTATTAATGTTTTTGCCTCTATGATTAAGCATATCTGAAAGAGACAACTCTTACTTAGAATCTGCAAAGTGCATTTCAAATGTTCTCATGCAAATTTCTGCTTCTTGTCAAAAGTTTACAGGCCAAGAGATATGAATACAAAGTACTTACTAAAGTTTGGAAGGGAAGACTCTTAGAAGCTAGTGCTAGTGGAAGTTCTATAATGATTCAAGAAGCACGGGTGCACACTTAATGCTTTCTTTATATACACATGTGTGTGTGTGTGTATTATGTATGCAATGTTAAAATATCTTGATATAATTGTGGACATTTTTATAAGTTGACAATACAAATATGGAAAGAGGATCAATAGACATTTCTTCCCAGATATGTAGGCAAAAAACTAGACTTATGTAGAACAAAAATTCTAGTCGAGATATTCCTAGGAGTTTCCTAAATATCTCAAAAATATCCTTTCATGATTCAATCCCCCACTAAAATATCAAAAATGAAGTTACATTAAACACTACTATAGTAATTTGTTATTTTTTTATTCTTATCGAGGGACATAGCTTACCCACATTCAAAACTACATTATCATGAGCTGGTGCTGACATTACTTGAACTAGCTATATAATAATCTTGCATACCATCAAGACACACAATTAAGTCAGTATGCAACTATGCATAAGTTTATTGTAAATTTATAGTCGTGCACAATATTCTAGTAAAAGTGATGTATTTAAGGATATGTACAAAGTAGGGATGACTACTATGGTTAAGAAGGTGACAGGCAACACTCTTTTTGACCTGCAGGTTATGGCTGCCCTTTGTGATTCATTACATCTGGCTCACAAATTTATTCTCAACTCGTTCTGTGATTATCTCATGAGCAAGTATATTACTTCAAATTTCACACCTTTTTTATTTCAATGCTTTTTCCACATCATGTTTATAAACTTCACAAAGGCTCTCTATGGATTGAATCAAGCCCTGCCTGCATGTTTTGTATGAAAGACTATCTTAATATCTCATTGATATAAATCTCTCAAAGGCTATATTTGGTTCACCCTTATTTGTAGTATAGAAGGGAGTGATATTATCATTGTTCGAATCTTTGTTGATAATATTATATTTGGCTTCACTTATCATTCTATTTGTGAAGAATCTACTCAAGTAATGACTACTTATTCCAAAATTAGTTTGATGGGAGTGTTATACTTCTTTTATAGATAGCAATAACAACAACCTACCTATTGAAGTGACACCAGTAAGGTATGTGGGGTGGTTGTATGCAGGTCATCTTACCTCTACCTAAAATGGTAGAGAGGTTTTTGTAAGACTCTACTCACAATGTCAAAGGAAACAGATTAGAACAAATCATCCAGAAAAATGAGAAAAGTAAAGGTAAAATAAATACGAGAGCAAGGAAGGAATATAATATATCTACGAACAAATAAAAGATCACTAATAATACACCCCATTATACTAGCTACATGATAAGCCACCCAAGATGCACCAAAAAGCTAGTAAAGAATTTGATATTCAACTATGAGCTCGAGTAAGAAGTTTAATAAAGATGAAACCTTAAGGAGCGTTGACCAAAATGTATATCGAGGCAGCTTACTTTATTTGAAACATATAAGCCCACTATTTTGTTCCCTGTTTATATTTGTGCTTGCTGTCAATCAGGGGCAGACCCAGGATATCCAGTCCATGGGGTCCTGTGCTTAAAAATATGACTATGAGACTACAGTTATTGTACTCGCTAATGAATAATTTAAACAATTAATACCTTTCTTAAAAAGAAATGAAAGTTTATATTGAAATGTATCAAAAGAGAAAGTTGGAAGTGTTTTTTTTAAGGGTGGGTGGGGGGGTGGGGTAGGGGGAACGTAAAAGTATTTGACTAATAAGCTATGTTAATAATTAAAATATAAATATACAAAAAATTTAAAATACTACAAAATAAGGCATGATTTTACTATATTATTTTATCAAATTATCAACAAAAATATATTAGAAAATAAGATATAACTTGATTATATATAGGGCTGAGCAACAGTGGGTTTCGGTCGGTTTCGGTTTGAAACCGAAAAAACCGACTTTTTTTTAATATAGTTGAAAACCGACCGAACCGAACCGACCATAAATCAAAACCGACCGAACCAAAACCGAAAACCGCCCATACATAAAAAACCGACCGAAAAACCGAATTCTAATTACTTTTATTTTGATTTTTTAATATAAATTCAAGAAACTAATTTGGAAAGGTAGATTGATGTGTATTAAATTAGTTTAAATCAAAACTTTTCTATTGTCATATTTAGTAAGGTAGATTAATTTTTTTTTTTTGAATTTACACTATCCATTTCATATAAAAATTGCACTTTTCTTATTAATATGTTCAAAACATTAACAAATAAATTTTTTAAAAGTGAAACATTAAAGTTTTCCATGAAAGAGTAAAAAAGAAAGCATGTGTGTTAATCAAATATTTTCTTATTTTAAAAAATAAAAAATAAATTAAAATAAAATAATCGGTTATTCGGTCGGTTCGGTTTTTCTAACAAAAAAACCGAAAATCGACCGAAAAACCGAAAAAACCGAAAATAATTTTTACATGAAAACCGAAACCGAAACCGAACTTCCGGTTATTTCGGTTTTCGGTTTTCGGTTTCGCGGTCGGTCCGGTTAATTTGCTCACCCCTAATTATATATAGTGGGGAAATTTACCTATATAGTACGAAAACATAGTGGGTTTAACAATGTAGTACCATATGTTTTAATTTCCCAATTTAGTACCACTGTTCAATGTCCAATGGACATTGTTCAAGTAAATGTCCACCATCAGTGGACATTGTTCAAAGTAAGTGTTCTCCGCCACTGGACATTCAAGTACTATTTAGGGAATAAAAAGTTTTAGGTACTACATTGGGAAAAGACATGTTTTAGTACTAGTTGGTGCAAATTTCAGTATATAGTGATTATCAACTTAAAATTGTGATGGAGGAAGTACTTCGTATAGTTATTAATTAATGAGTTAAATTAGAACTTTACATTCATTTATGTATACATGCATTATATTTTGTATATAGAACATTTACTCCCTCCGTCCCTAAAGGCTAAAACAAAGTCACTCCTTGACTTCACAAAATTTAAGAAAAGTGTTGAAAACTAAAAAGTGTGGTTAGAATTTGTTTAGAAGAGAGAAATATTGTGAGCCTCATAAATGTGAAAGTGTGAGTTTGTTTTACGGACAAAGGGACTATATCAGTAAATGTGAACTTAGACATGTGTATTTTACTCTTTAATGCAGATTATACAATATAATGAGAACTTTAAAACTACCGGCTTTTTGCGAGTATGCAATTTGCATACCACCCTCAGGGCCACCCCCTTGCCTATCTTGTGGATTTGAACAATGTTGAGTCTAACTCACCTGTTGAGAAATTGTTATCAATGAGATCTTTAGAAAATCTTTTTACCAATCATGTGGGGCTTGTTTATAACTATGCTAATCCTTTTTTATTTTTCAATAGGGGTGCGAGGTGGTACTCCATGGAGATGGCTGGCGTTGTGACTCATCTTAGAGCAAAAGTGATTCAAGATGCAAGACTACTGGTTGGAAAAATTGGAAGACCTCTTGAGTTAGGCACCAATGGTATTTGGTGTGCATTGCCTGGCTCATTCCCTGATAACTACACCTTCAAGACTAGGTATGCATATGTTGTCGTCATGCATGTTATATATAAGAATCATTTCAATCTACTCCCTCCGTCTCGATGAATTTGTCCACTTTTCCCTTTTGAGTTGTCCCAATGAATTTGTCCACTTTTCTTATTTGGTAAATAACTAAAGATAAGCTTACTATTTTACCCTTACTACTGTACATTTGTTACACCCAACCTATCTAACCAAGCCCTCACTTATTACCAAAAGGTAGGGATATATTTATAACTTCCTCTTTCCTTTTCTTTTTCATTGGGTTACGTTATGAATTTCATGTNGGGGTAAGGTGATTATGCTGGTGTAAGTGCTTTTCACTCGTGACTTGCTTTTGCTTTAATATGATATACTCCCTCTATCCCGTAAATGTTTTCACTACCTTTTTCTTCCCTTCCAAAAACTTCACTTTCCTTTTATGAAAAAACATGTGGCTCATACAATTTCTCTCTTGACAAATTTGAACCACACCTTTTTTACTTTTCAACACTTTTTAAGCTCCGTGAGAGTCAAACCCGGAAGGTTTTTAGAGTATGGAGGGAGTGTTATCTCTTTCTCTCTCTCTCACACAGTTTCTTTTGTTGCATTTGATAATTCTTAATGGAACATATATTCCAGAAACCCAGAGAAGAAGCTGACGATCTCATATCCTTGTGTTATGCTTAACGTAGATGTGGCAAAGAATACCATCATTGATCACTACCAGGTTAGACTGTTAGAACTTAGAAGATATCAGTTCACTATTTGTCCTCTCTTAACATTTCCTGGAAAACAGTTATAGATGTAGTCTTTAATGTTTTGCACTTCAACTAGAACCCTGATTCCATGCTGGTAAAATTTCATCTTTGTGCACTGCTATTGTGCAGATGCTGACTAATTCTGTGTATGAGACATACAGAACACAGTGTGAAAGTTCACTTGGATTTGAAGTGGACGGACCATATAAGGTGAAATGTTTTTTTGGAAGAATTGACACACACAAATACTACCTATGTAAAAAAGTCATTTTAGAGCGAGATACAAATTTTAAGTCATCAATTCTACTTATGTCTTTAGGTTTATTTGTTGGTTTAACTTACTTTATCATATTTACCTATTTCATGATTCATTTTCAGAGATTAGTTTGTTGATACATTACACTTGTTTTGGGAAAAAAAAAGATTTTAAAATATGACTTGTTTTTTTGGTACGTAGTAGTATCTATTTTACTAAATCTTCCATATCTCTAAATTTATATGGAGAAATCTTTTGCAACCAGGCAATGATTCTTAAAGCTTCCAAGGAAGAAGGAATTTTGATTAAGGAGCACTATGCAGTTTTCAATGATGATGGAACACTTGCCGAGCTAAAAGATTTGGAGATCATGCGGGGAGGTCAGCTAAAGCTCATAAAAGATTTTGAGGTAATGTTTTAAACATGTTCAGATTTGTGATCTTTTATTATCTGTGCTTTGTGAGCCAAGGGTCTCTTTGAAACAACCTCTCTACTTCCGTGTAGGGGCAAGGTCTACGTACCCACACCCTCTTTAGACCACACTCTCGTGGATCCAAATGGATTGTTGTTGTTTTAAACATGTTCAGAGTAGAAATTGTGTTGCCATGAGTCCATGACTTTTTATTTTCTCATTGATTTCTCAATTTAAAGTGTGAATAACCACTTTGTTGCAGGCAGATCTCTTAAATAATTTCCTTCATGGATCCACATTAGAGGAATGCTATTCAGCTGTTGCTTCTGTTGCAAACCGTTGGCTTGATATTCTTGAGGTATCCCCAAATGTTTTAAAATATCTGTCCTGTGCTTCAGAATATATGTTTCATGTGCTTCTCATTGTTGTTACGGCAACTAGGTGAGGCTGGGTGCTAGAGTACCATCCAATCTCCTAGACAATTAGGCGCCCGCCTAGGTGTTCATTGGACGATTAGGATATGACAACCTAGATAATTTCTAGGTACTAATGTAAAAGCATATAATATGAAAAAGGCAATTAAACAATACATTGATACCAAAGAGATGTTAATTAAATCTCGTGTTTCCATCACTAATTGGCCAATCACATAAGATGCATTGAATCACATCTTTAAAATCATACTTAGTGAAAGTGTAAAAGTTTTTTTTGATGCTATATGCAAGTTCATTCGCAGTGAGTACTCATTTACGTGTAACTGAATGCTCATTTTCGAACAACTGGACCTCATTTTCGAGTAATCGAATACTCATTTTTCTCAAATTCAATTATGCTCGAAAATGAGTATTTGGATAGTCGAAAATGAGTAATCTGTTACTCGAAAATGAGTATTTAGTTACTCGAAACTGAGTATTCATGCGGATGTATGAGAAACACCATACATCCTAATGTATGGTATAGGTTCTCCAAGCCTGTTTCTGTGGTCCGGGAAAAGATTAAGGGAAATAAAAATAAGGGAAAAGACTAAAGGAAACATGCCATGCGGCAAGTCTGTTTCTTTCTCTTTAAAAAAATAAAAACAAAACAATAATTTTTTTGGAAATATTAATAAAGAAGTACAGAACCTAAGTTTAATCGCAAGGTTTCCCCATTCGCCTAGGGTTTTAATCGCTAGTTAATCTTTTTTTTAAGCGCAAGTCATACTCTTTAGGTGTCGCCTAAGCGACAAACCAACACCTAAGTCACCCAGGGAAAAAACAGAGCTAGTTGTCCCTTCTGGCGACTTCATTCAATTGCCCATTCAATTGCCCAAACGCTTAGGCGATGCCTTAATAACTACTCCCTCCGTCCACAAATAAACTTCTCGTTCGCTATTCACGTGGTCAAACTTTATTCACTTTGTTGGCCTATTTTTGTCACCCATTTGATAAAATAATATAGTCATGTCACCTCTAGTTTTGTAAATCTTTTGATATAGTTTTTTAATATGTAATTTTTATTTTTAAATTTTACATCATTTTTCATATAAAATGATTTGAAAATAACTTCAGTCAAATATCGTAATGCGCAACGAGAAATTTATTTGTGGACGGAGGGAGTATGTTGCTTCTTATTGTTGGAGTTCCCACATCGGAAAATAAAGAAGAATACCACTATCATATATGGAAGGGTGAAACCCTACCTATTAGCTTAAGCTTTTGGGTTAGAATAGTGGATCCTGATTTTATATGCAAGTGGTTAATTTTACCTGACACTCTACCGGTTGTTCTCGGCCCACTGGAATTTTAACATGGTATCGGAGCAGGTCTGGTCCAGATTAGATTCTTCCTGGTTGTTAGACATGGGTTTAGCAAAAAAATGAGCTACTCCAACACTCCCCCTCAAGTGGTAACTAGCATGGTGTAGTTATCACTTAGATAAACGGGTCTAGCATCTCAATCTCTTATAGCTAGCCCACACAGTGGGCGGTGGCATCTCAATCTCTTTTTAGCCAGCTCAACCCAAACCAAGGATGAGTAGCTCATTTTTTTGCTAAACCCATGTCCAACAATAGGGATGGCAATTCTATCCGAATCCGACTTTTACCGACCCGACTGGAGGTTATTATATCCGAATCCGAACCGAAAAATTAAATATCCGAAACCGACCCGAAAAAAATTAAACCGAACTCGACTTTTGTCGGGTTGGGTTTGGGTTAGTATATTTGACCAACCCGACCCGTACCCGAACCGACCCGACATGTACCCGACTTTCAATAAGTTTTAAATAACTCTAAATTCCTATATTTCATGTATTTTTATGCACATATTTTTAATATTTTAAAACTTATTACATTTTTTATGTTTCATTTTTTATTGTGGTTTAATATTGTGTGTCCCACATGTGCTATTTTCATTGTACTCCATATATTATTAATTGAAACTTAGTGTTGTTTGTTCCACACGTGCGGGAAGACGAAGCGGTTGCAGATTTCTAGTCTGACGTCGCCCCCAACGAGATTGGACGACTTCCGTTTGACATCTTTAAGGGTTATTCGGTCATAATTATTTTTGATAATATCTTAAATTTTATATCATCTTTAAAATTTTTAATTTCTAATGCATTACAATCTTAAATTTTTCATGAATAGTTTAAATAGTATTCAAACCCGAAATTGACCGCAACCGACCCGACCGAATCTTAAACCGAATCCGAACCGAAAAAAATAAATATCCGAAACCGACCCGCCAAAATCAAACCCGAACCCGACCTAAGTTTGGTCGGGTTTTATTATACTCAAACCCGACCGAACCCGACCCGTTGCCATCCCTATCCAACAACCAGGAAGAATAGTAGATCCGGACTTTATATGCAAGTGATTAATTTTACCCGACACTCCACCCGTTGTTTTTGGCCCACCAAAATTTTATCACTTATATAATACTCCCTCCGTCCATGTATGATCTTCCCATTACGCGTTACGAGGCTTGACCGACTTTATTTTCAATTCAATTTAATTGATTATAGGAGTAAAATTTCAAAATAAAATTTATATAGTAATAAACTACATGAAAAGTTCTACAAAACTAGAGGTGACAAGACTATATTATTTTATGAAATGACTAGTAAAATTGAGTAAACAAAGTGGGCAAAGTTTGACCCTGTGAATAGTGTCTGGGAAGATCTATGGTGGACAGAGGGAGTAATTGAAATCTTATACGCAGTATATTTTTTTCATGAACTTATATTGTTGAATACTTCGTTATTTTTAATATTATTTTATAATCGACTCTAAGAGCATGTGTAGTGGGCTTCATGCGCTTGGATGGAGCCCTTGTAGCTCCAGGCGTTTTAAAGAAAACAATTTGGAGGCGCCATGTGTATATCGTTCCGCCCCTCCCTTCTCCAACCAATCATTTTCTTCTTATTTTTGTAATTAATTAAGAAATATAAAAAATGTGTAATTATGAGGGGGCTTTATGGGGCTTTATGCACTACATCATTTCAAAGGTCATGAATCCCCCAATGAGGTGGCTCCCACATGGCAGATAACGGTCATAACGCCCCTCTCGGGGTTCCATGAGTACGCATGGTCTAAGGCTATCTATAACGCTCCACTACCACTCACTCCAAATCAGCAGCCACTCAGCGCCACATCACTTACTGTACTCACCTTTTTCACTCACTTAACACCCATAGTACTTCACTTCGACAACAGTGATTACAACATTATTTTTTTATTTAATATTTACCTATTTCTACTCAAATTAAATTATATCTTTTAAAATAAAGATATAGATTTATTCTTTTTCTGTTTTTCTATTTCAGAATTTTTTCCGGTATTTTATTTAATATTTTTCTTATTATTTCCATTTTTATTTATATAGCATTTGTTCGATTTTTATTTCGTGATATTTTGTTTTATTTTTCCCGTCCAAGCCCTTTTTTATTTTTTTGGTTTAATTTTTTTTCTCGTTCAAACCAAATTTTTGGTTTTAACGGTCAATTCGAAAGTGCTTAGACGAAAATACAAGCACGTCATAAATTTTAAACTATATATGCAATATTGATGTCATTGAATAGATCTTGTGAAAAGATTTCCAACGGCATATTATTTTACAAGTAATATAACTTATGTACAAAAAATTATGAACCAAATAGACGTTACAATAGAAAAATTAAATGAAACAGAAAACTACAAAAAAGAGAAGAAATGAACCTTACCTTCTACGGCCATGGCAATGATTTGCTTCAAGGCAGACTCATGTAAAGCACTCACGAACAAGGGAGCGGCGGTGTTCCAAGTGATCTCTGCTGATGAGGCTATGCCAAGGCGGATCACGGATGGAGGGGGCATGGGGCGCTACGCCGTTGCACTCAGTCTAATAAGTTTCATGCCACCAACCCCAACGTAGTTTGGATTAATGTGTTGATTATTACTACATATTACGACTCTTGCCTTAAAAAGGCATGTTTTTATCAAGGTACAATTTTTTAATTTTGTCATGTACGGCATTTATAAGTCATCAGTTTTACATAAACTTTTTTGTTTATATGTTGGTTAACTTGAATTTAGTTTATTTAACATGTCTCGGATTCTTTGTTTTCACTGAAGAACGGATTTCATTTGTTTTTAAAGTGTTTTTAAGCATAACTCTTCTGTGACAGATCACAGATGGAGTAATATTTACCTCATATATGCTTAAGTGAATTGCTCCAAACATTTAATTTTCCATACTGATATTCACAGAATCAAGGGAAAGACATTGCAGACAGCGAATTGCTTGACTATATATCAGAATCAATAACATTGAGCACGTCTTTAGCTGATTGTGGTGAGCAAAAGTCATGTGCAGTTACCACAGCAAAACGCCTTCGGGATTTTCTTGGGGATGCAATGGTTAAAGATAAAGGGTTGTGTTGCCAGTATATAGTTGCATGTGAGCCAAAGGTAAGCTTCTACCTGTTTGTAGTTGAAATTTTACTTTCAATATTCTGCATTGTGAATTACAATCACTATCGAAAATGTAATATGGCTTTCTACGGTGTATTAGGTATTATTTGTTGACACATAGTCGCACACATGCACAAAACAAACCAAACAACCCCAATAAGTCCAACTCAGAAGTAGGGTCTGGGAGGTACGATGTATGCAGACCATACCTCTATCCAAGGAATAGAGAAACTGTTTCCGAGCAAAGCCTCGACTAAGGAAAAAATTGAAAGTATAGAATGAAGTAAACAATTTGATGGAAAAGCACTTGCATTTTTTTAAGATAAACATCAAAATGTGTCAGTTAGTATCTTAAGTGTGGGACAATTATGTTGGTTTAAAAAAACAAGAAATAAAAGGAAAAATGCACTGACAAAGGACAGCTCAAACAAGAAGACAAGTAAGCTATGAAAATACGTATTTGTAAAGAGGCTGGAGGATTTGTAGCCATGCGACAGCCTCCAGTCATTTAATTATTGAGAGATGTCGTAGGCAGCCTCGAGAGAAGTCACGCTAAGAAGTCTCCGCTTGTTGTTGGCTGGGACAACGGCCCCATCAGTGTTTGGGTGAAGTGGTCCTGAAATAAGTAAGCATATAAATAGAATAAATAAATAAAATAAAAATTGTTGTGGATCGCCAATGCCCTAATGCATGTCTTATCTACTAGAATAGTGTTGTGGGGACACAATTTGTTGTTGGAACTCCAATGCCCTAATGCATGTCTTATCTACTAGCGTTCTATTGTAGTTACCTTTTTGGATCTACTAGTGTTCTACTCCCTCCACATCCCGAAAAGAGCCACCTGTTTACGTTGTTTGACTGAAGTTATTTTTAAATCAATTTATTTAAACATTGGTTAAAGAAATAGATCTCTAAACTGTCCGCGCTTCTTTAATTAATGAAGTAGCAGTTAATCAATCAATGCAACTTTCGACGTTGAGCCAGGGGTCTCTTTGGAAACAACCTCTCTACTTTCGAGTAGGGGTAAGGTCTGCATACACACACCCTCCCCAGACCCTACTCTTGTGGGATTCAGCCGGGTTGTTGTATTGGAAAATATTTAAAAAATTCTAAAAAACAAGATGTGACAAGACTATATTATTTTCTCAAATGGGTCATGAAATTGGGTCAAGAACGTGGTTAAAGTTTGACTCTCTGAATAATAAACAAACAACTTAAATTGGGACAAAGGGAGTAGTAATTTTACCTTTCTGGAAAGTTTAGTACAATATCAATCAACCCACCAAGCATATTGATATGGATATCCACTTTGTTCGTGAGAAGTGGCACTTGGCCATATATGTGATTCTTCATGTTCCTCGGGACTATCAGTTATTATACACATCTTCATGCTAGTATTTCTGTACGGCTTCATCCCATTATTAATGCAAATCTTTATTGTATTTATCCTTGCTTATTTAGTCCGGTAACTTTGTTACTTTTTATATGCCTCTCACGGAGTGCAATCATAAGTGAGTGATGCACTCTTACTTTTCTTTCCCTACAATATGAAAATGTATAGAGTTCAATGGTAAAAAAAATGACCCAGTAAGGTTCCACAAATGGGGTCTGAGGAAGTGGGACCATACCCTTACCATAAAAGTATATCAGCTCAAGAAAACATTAAAAACATAAGAACAATCAAATATTTAAAGATGAAAATTGTATTAATAAAACACAACTTTNAAGTGGTTGGAGACTTGGAGCACGAAAGTATATTCCTCCTAGGATCGATCCCTCCCCCTACTCCCCTTCCACAATTATCAATGGGTTGATCCGGGAAGAAAATGATACCAAACAAGCCCAACCTTAAAATTTTAAAGAGTAAATTTCCAAAATGGTCCTTTATAATAAGGTGTTTTCTCAAATTAGTCCTCAATAATTTTTAATTACCTACGTGGTCCTCTATAAGTGAAATTTATTCCCTAGATAGTCTTTCGTAAATAATTTTACTCAAAGGATGCATAAGTATTTTTATCAACTAAATTTAGAATAAATTCTTAAAATGATCATTTCTAATGAAGTGTTTTCTCAAAATGGGTTTTTCTCATTAAAGATGTGCATTTGATTCGAGTTTTAAATGATTTATATAGGTTTTTAGTAATGCATGGATTATGTATAGTCAATGAATTTTTTTAATTTTAAATTTAATTGTATAGAGCTTACCATTTCGAGAGTATACTTTAAATTTAGATCATACGAATACCAAAGTACCTTTTAATAATCATCATTTCAATAACATTATTTACAAGGACTACCCGAGGAATAAATCTCAACTATAAAGAACCACGTAGGTAATTATAACTTATTGAGGACTGAATTGGAAAAATACCTTATTACAAAGGACCATTCCGGAAATTTACTCAATTTTAAATTTGTAAAGGGTTGGTGAAGAACACAGCTAAGGGTTTATTCATATTCATTACCACATTTTTGGACATGGGGATGTGGATGCCTTGCTTTTTTGTCTGATCTTTATTTACAAAAAGGGAGCTACCACTAATGCACTCCCGAGCAATATATGTTTCTATAATAGGCGGTTTCTTCATTTTGAACATGTGATCTCATGGTCACATGGCTAGGAGAAGCAGGTTTTTCTACTGTTTGAATGCGCTTTTAAGGGCCTTGCCTTTGATATGTATAAATAGCATTAGCTTTATGCAGTTGAAAAAAAGTTTCCCATTGTCTTTTCTATTCTCCTTCACGTGTTTCTCTTCCCAGAGTTCTTAGTTATTAAGTTTAAATGAGAATCTAACATTTACATGCGCAGGGAACACCAATCACTGAGCGGGCTATTCCTGTTGCAATATTCAAAACTAATACTGGTATTTGTTTTTTCCCCTTATTTTATATACTCGAGTCTGTTTTTCATTCTTCTGATAATAGTATTAAATTTTTTTATGAACTTGAAATTTCAGAAAATATGAAGCTTTTTATAAAGAAGTGGTGCAAAATATCATCAGATTCAAAGACCAGCATCCGCTCTATTGTTGATTGGTCATACTATAAGCGCAGACTTTGTTCGATGATCCAAAAGAGAATTACTATTCCTGCTGCAATGCAGAAGGTACACCATACCTGTTTATAAATCTCCATTGGTGTTTTTATACGCTTTTCTCAAACCGAGTTTTTTGGTTTTTCTAAAGGTTGCAAATCCTGTCCCGAGGGTGCCTCATCCAAGTTGGCTACTTAAAAGGGTTAACGAAAAGGAAGAAAAGTTTCGTAGTCATCAACAAGAACTGGAAGACATGTCTGGTTCAATGAGCAGAGATAATAAGAGTGCAGGTGCAGATATAGAGGACATGGGGAAAGCTGGAAAATCTTATGTGATTGCACCCAGGCCCATTGTTCATTCTCATGGAGTGAACAAAAGGGTTGAGAGAACCTTTCAAGAAATCTCTTTAGACCGATAATAATATGATTATGTGACAAAGGGAATGTAATGTTCTTTTGTTTGGTTGAACCGCTATTCATATTTAATTACTACTATATGGATTAGAAATTATCTCCCTAGTTTTGTGGGAAATTAGACATTTAAAGTGATAATTTTGGATTAATTGTACTTCGTAGAAATTAGGCCCATTAAAGCTTTGGGACTTCTTGGTTATTAGGTTGAAAAAAATAGAATTGGATGTTGGTATAAACCGGACCGAGTTAGAGAAAAATGGGAGAAGTTAGCAAAACTAGCAAAAGTTCGAGGGAAAAAAAAAGAAAAATTAAAGTTGGAAAAAAGAAGAAAATAGAATAAATTGGGAATTAGAAAAATTAGGAAGAGTTGAAATACATTGGAAGGTGTTAGAAAATGTTGAAAAAATGAAAGGCGTTGAAATAAATATTACGAGTATAATTCTGACATTTCATGCTTTTATTAAAGTAATTTTTACATCATTTATTTCAATTTTATGTTTATTTTTACAATGTCAGTAGTCACACTATTTATGTTTCAAATCATAGAGTGAATTTTTAAAATGATACTCTATAACTAGCTATTTTAAAAAATTCATCCCTGAAATAAACTAATTAGCGAGGTGATATTTAATTGAAAGTATTGTCTAGATAAGTTCATCAACTATAAAATTGAGAGATATTTTTGTAATTTTCATCACTCAAATTTAGAATAGTTTCCCAAAATGGTTCATTCCAATTGGTGTGAAATTTTTGAATTGAAAGGTTATTTTCAATCTAATATAACTGAACAAAAGGTGTAAAATTTTTAAATAAAGAGTTGTGCTTCATCCGTCACAGATTAAATTATCTGTTTACTATTCATAGGATCAAATTTTATTCACTGTTTTTCTCTACTTTCGTTAGTCATTTGATAAAATAATATATTCATGCTACCACTAGTTTTACAAATCTTTTGATTTAGTTTTGAAATATGTAATTTTTATTTTTTAAGTTTATACCATTTTTCATATAAAACAAATTGAAAAAATAATTTCAATTAAACATCGAAAATCGAAACAGATTTAAAAAAAACGTACACCAAAAGCTTGTATACAAGTAGAATACTCTACTTGTTTTGTGAAATGAACTTTTTTGTTAATTCATAATGGCGTAAAACAAGAGTACAAATGCATGATGGTGTATAGCCAACCATTCAAGAAAATTACGGAGTAGTAGTAATCGAAGAACTCTATTCTCAACAGTCAACAATATTTAATCCGATGTAACTCTTGTGAAATAACATAGATCTTGATTTGCTGTATGTAGAACTTGAAACAGTATCTGATTATCCATTGGCGGATCTATATGGAATTGAATGGGGCACTTGCCCCCAATGAATTTTAAAGTTTTTTACATAGTACCCTAATTTTTTATAAAAGTATGTTATGCCCTTATCAAAAAACAAAATGCCCCTATTTAGAAAATAAATTACCCCAATAAAAATTTAAGTTGAAAATCAAATATTTGTCGTTAAAATTAAAAGAATTTAAATGTGTAATGTTTAACATAACAAGAATACGATTTAAAAATAAATATTATTAAGAGACGGTAAAATTTTAGGGTGTATTTTTAGATAATGTTAGAAAATGCCTTGAATCTGTGTCCTAGACGTATTAGGATTACGACTAGGAATAGGATTAAGATTATCTTTCCTATTCTCATCTTTATATATGTAGTATGATTAGGATTACCCATATCCCCTTCCCTATATATATAACTAGTATTTAACCCGTGCAATGCACAGGGTCGAATGCATGTTGTTTTTAACTCTGTTAAATTTTTGGTTTTAGCAAATGGTTAAAAATATAGCTAAATATAATATACAATGTTAAAAGTATAATGAATGATATGACATAAACAGAGTACACTACCTAAAAATCATGTATATAAATATTGACGAAACGTATAAATCTATTAATTAAATCTAGTTTTTTTGAAAAACTTCAGGGTAAACCACATTTTTTGTGAAATTGCAAGGGTCACTGTTGCCATCTAAAACTTATACTCCCTCCGTCCGAAAATATTCTTCCCGTGTTGACTTGGCACGCTTATTAAGGAATAGTAAAAAATGCAAAATTTTCAAAAATGCACATACTATAAACTTTTAAATCTCCTTTTATTATTAAAAAAATACTAAAAAAGTAGATTAGTGATAAAATAGAAAGGTATTATTGATGTTTAGCCTTAAAAAGTATACTAAAAAAGGAAATGGGAAGAATATTTCCGGACGGACCAAAAAGAAAAATGAGAAGAATATTTCCGGACGGAGGGAGTACTTTCAATCCTTTCTTAGTCTTGACTTGTGAAACTACAACATAAAGTTGACCATGAGTAAATACCGATTTGGTCAAGAATAATCCACCAAATATTAATGTTTGGCCTTGACTCTTATTGATCGTCATGCCAAAACATAAAGGTATTGGAAATTGTCTTATTTGAAACTTAAACGATAATCCAGGATCTGACGGTACCAGCTTCATTCTTGGTATGTAAACTTTCTCACCAGCATTGTTTCCTGATACAACAATTGCACCGATAACGTTTCTTTGCAACACTTCAACTATTAACCTTGTACCATTACACAACCCAGATGTTTGATCAATGTTTCTTAATAACATAATTGGTACTCCTTTCTTCAAAACAATTCTGTGGTTTGAAATCCCGGAACACTTGATATCGTTCAAAAACTCAGTTGATATCCAATCACCATATATGCCTACATCTGAATCTACTTGACAGAAAAGAATCAGAGCTCAAATACTCTTTTTCATCTCCAGGAATAAAAAATAAAACAAAACCATTGATCATTTCTACAACTTCAAGCGTTGGTGCTAATAAAGCTCTATCTATAAAAAAAGCATAATCTTTCATATTTTTCAATAAGTCTAAATACGTGAATTCCACTATGCTCTGTAGTGGAGAACTTGAGTTCAGGATCAAGGATTGAGGTGGAATTTAAATTTCACCAATTCCATCATTAACCATGTCAAGCTGTCCATCTCCATTCTTGATTATTTACTCTGAAAAAAGTTGTGTCACTCTCTGCGTGACTGGATGAAGACAAATGTAATCTCATATTTCTAATCAATGTAAATACTTTACAATACAACCACAAAGTCGATGCATTCGCGGTAACATTTTGATTTTAAACATAATAAAAATTATAATTACTTATAATGTATAATTGTTTGTCTTAATTCTATTTTATCAACGACTATAATTTTACAAAATTGAACTGATTAGTATGATTTTTTTTGTCGTCCAAGAACTGCATAGGGTGTAGAAAAAATTATAGTGTGACAATATGTTTGAGCAAGAGGGCATACTATTTCATAATTTTCTTAAAAGTTTTTATATATTGGTGTATTATACTTGGTGATTCTCATAGTTGATTAAATATTATTAAATTTTATTTGGTAGAAAACAAACTATTTGACATTTTATTAAAAAAATAAAAATACGATTTTAAGATAGTATTTAGTATATCGGTTAATATTTTATATTTTTATAAACAAAATTAAAATCATTTAATATAATATTTGAGAGTTGATATTCGCGTGGTCCTCTCCACACCTTTTAATTTTTTTCTTATTGTACAAATTTATCCTTATTTAACCTTAAAACACTGGATTATATATCATCCTTAGATCTTATTTTTTCTAAGAATCAACAGTTAAGATTGCTTTGCAGTTGGGCAAGAAAATGCTGGTGCATTTTTTCCCTCGCTTTTAAGAATAGAAGAATTTTAACTCATGTAGTTAAGAAAAAGAATAAAAAAATTTAATATGGAAGTGTAAAGAATACTATTTTTGTATGGAGTATCACTTATTTATTCTTGAAGTTTCTATAGTGGTCTTTTATAACAAATTGAACATGTATTTGAAGATAAAAACAGATTCTTAGAGTAATAAAAAGTAATTTGTATTTAAAGGTTAGAAAATAAGAATTAGCAAAATAAGACTAATACATAGAGATGAATAAAAAAAGATCAAATGTAATCATTTAAAAAGTAGAGAGGAAACCTGGATGGGAACTCCTTAAATGTAATAATAAAAACCAAAATTGAAAAGTTGATGGCTTGATGCATTAAATATTCATTTTAACTTATAATCAGCTGTCATGGGAACACTTTAGGAACACCTAAAACATTAGATACAATTGGCTGAACACCATACCTCAGGATGAACATTTGAGTCATCAAATGCACAACCAAGAGGAAATGTGTCACCTGGAAAAATTTAGAACTCAACACTATAAATAAATGTGAACTTTCATAGTTAACATATATTTATACACCATTGATCTCACCTACAACGGCCCATTGAGGAAGCTCTCCAAAGCTCGGTAGCAACAGAACTTTGCCAAGATCTATCACATCAAAGATAAAAATTTTAGCCTTCAACTTAAGTATAGAAAATAGTATTGTAGAAATTAACACTAATGAAGACTTTCGTTTTCATCCTGATAAAAAGAGTAGTCCAAGACCCAAAGGTAAAGTTCATATTTTTCAAAAATATTTATATAAAAATTCGAGGATTTCAAACGAACCATGGATAAGTGCAGTCAAATGGAGCCAATCCTCATTAGGATAGTCTTTCCTGATGGCTTCAGCTGTCTGCAACAAATGCTCGATTTGGGGTTCATCCAGATCGGGATCACTGTCATCCACAACATCATTCAAAAGCTCACAACATTATTGTAGAGAAATGCTCTGAAATAGGTATGGAAGATGAATATATTACAATCGTATGTAATGTATTTTGGGAATTACCTGGATCTTCAAGCACGCTAACTGGTTGAGAATCCTTGTTCAAAACTTTAATTAGGACCATTTGGTCACATCATTTTCAAGTTGAGGTGATCGACTATCATTGGATTAAATCATGCAAGACAAAGTAGTAGAAATGTAAATTAATGTAGATAAATCAGTGCACGTATGTAACTACTCTTAGATTTCTAACAATATTTTTAAACATATTATTTTAAGGTGAGAGCCCACAACGAAAGTGATAAGAACTATCATCAGATTGATTAAGACTTTTAAAAATTCAAGTTACAACTCTAGAGGCCTCACAATTGTTTTCACGTTGTATAATACATGTGAGTCCATTTAAATGAAAGAAAAAGTTCACGGACTTGCTAACAAATAAGCATGCTTTAAGGAAATATTTCTCCATTCAAGTTAACATGGCTCTGTTGCTTCTCAATAAAAAAAAATATAACTCTTATGTAACCTCATGGTTTTATCTCAAATGTATAGTCATTAGACTCTGTAATGCAGGAACTCTGCACATATATAGTCGAATTGACTTAGACTCTACACCGTTATGTACCTAGGTACATCAAAGTTGGACAATGTTCTCTATTAAAGTCCTTAAATGATGTATACTTCTAATTAGAATAAAACACATACACTTTATATTTAGCTTCTTGCACTACTCGCATGTGTTGTAATACATTCGTTATTATTGTTAGTGCCATATATCAAAGAATGACAAAAGAATGTTGCACCCCATCCATATTAAAAAACAGAACACATAAAAAGCATTAAAATAATACAACTTCTAATAGAACTAATGCCTTATAAATAGTTATTATTAAAGGTTCATGTACTTACATCTTCAAAGTTAGGGCCAACACTACTCAGAATCTCTCTAATATTTTCCAACCTTGATAAAACCATGATTGTGTATGTCCAACTCTTGTAATTGAATCACGTGAGAATAATGATAGCTCAAATGCCAAAACGATACAATAGTAGCCTTAGTATCAATACCATATCTCATATCAACATATGTAATAAACATGAAAATATGTACAAACATATATGCACACATACTGGTTGGAGTGATTTTAGACGATGGATGGATGGTCTTTGACATGTATGGTCTAAAAAAGAAGTACGAATATCGAAAAAAATATGCCTAAGGGGTGTGGTGGGTTGTTCTTGAGGAGAATGAATATATATGTAGTATATTACTCTTAGAAAAAGTAATTATCGATTTCTCCAATGTAATTAATCATAATACGATTCTAAATTAGGTATGTAATCTCACTCTAAATAAAGCCACGATTAATAATAGACGATATCACCTAAAAAATTGGGGAATGCCAAGCCTAGATTCGGAAGTATATATGGAATTCGAATAAGAATTACATACGAATTTTGGAAACAAACCTGATTTTTGAATTGAAGCCTATGAATAAATGGATCTTAACGCCGTAGGTTTTGCAAATTAACGCGTAGAATCAGCGGCTAATCAGCGGCATCACCTCGTGGTGTAGATTTCCTCTCCTTCGGAGAAGATCTACAGCGAAGAATCAGTGAATTATTGCAAGAAGAATCGGCAGATTATCGGAAGTTTTGGCTCAGGAATGCGTTTAGAGAGGAGAAGAATCGCTTCTGCGATTTTTGAGTAAAACTGGACGCAAAAATCGGCAGATTATCTATTTAGGTATTTTGAATCTCGATTAAGCGAGATCGGCCTAAGAGATATGGTATCTTCGGGAGTTTTCTTCGGTGAAGAAGAGACGACGTAATTGAGAGAGGGAGAGGGGATCGGCCGAAATTAAAGAGTTTCCTTGGGCGGAGAAGAAGAGACGGTGTAATTATGGATAGTTTTCTTCAAGAACAGAATTTTTTGCTTCTTTCCTTAGGTGAAATTTGCGATTGTTTCGGTGAAAGATTTGCTTTTAATTTTTGTTTTGTGAGGAGGAGACACGTGTCAGTCTTAAACATTGCCAAATCGCAAATAACTCTCAAATATTATACTACGTATTAAAAGATTTGTATTTGTACTCTTCAATTCATGGTAGAGAAAACATGTAATCTGGTGAGAAATATTGATCAATAATAGTTTTTCTCTCTAGTCCAGGGAGGTTACTAACAGGTTGTTAGTAAATCACGTTAAATCTCTATCTTTTACATGATTGTCGATTGTTCGTGTTCATACTTTCTCGCGTCAGCCTGGTTTTTCAGCACGAGCACAAATTGCTAGAAACTTGTCACCTAGGGTTTGCAGATTTAGATCGGGTGCCGTTGAGAACCTGTAGCCGCTAAGAATCTGTGGCCGCTGACAGGGGAAGCCGTTGAGAAGTCGTTGCTGTCCTGTTGTTCGATTGGAGATCTACGCGCAGCCCCGAACCACCGTCAGCCACGCGGGAGCAGCCGCTGATCCGTTCAGGCGCCGCCGTAGAGGAGCCGTCGCACAACTGGTCGTCGGTATCCATATCGTGCGCAGAGAGCAGGTGAGCCACATCCGCTGGTTCAATCGGAGTTGCGCAGCCCAGAGAATTGCCGCCGCCGCCGGGTTTGAGTAGCCGCCGCCACCATCGAAGTTCTCCGCTGGGTCTTGAACCGCAGCGAGGAAGTGTGACGCTGTCTCCTGTTCGCGCCGCCGTTGAGAAGCCATCCAGTTGCGTGCCGCCATCGTCCACCCGCCTAGCCGCCACCGCCATCCAGTGAAGAACTCCGTCCAAATCCGCCGTCCAGATCCGTTTCTTTTGGCCAGAGTTACGAAGAAAAAAAAAAGGAAGACTTAGAAAGAAAAAAAGGTTTTTTCCTTTTGGCAGGTACGAAGCTTCAGCGGCAGAAAGGAAAAAATAGGGGGGAATTTCTTTTGGCAGCTGCGAAGAAACAAAAAAAAAAGGAAGAAAGAAGAAAAACGGCGGGTTTGTTTGTTTTTTGGGAATTGATTTGGGCCGTGCTTTCTTTTGGACGGTGGAGATTTTTTGGGTTGTTTTGCTTTTGGGCTGATTTGATGAGTACTCCGTTTTTTGGTTGACCCTTGGAGAAAATTTGGCGGTTGATCTCTTATCTGAACAAATTTGAGATAATCTAGATCCATCAAGTTGAGGACTCATGATGGTACATTTTGCACCTTGAATAAAGTTAGACATGTTCCACAGATGACGAAGAATCTGATATCCTTGACTCGTCTTGACAGTAAGAGTTTCAGTTTCGAAGGTAAAAGTGGAGTTATGAGTGTCTACAAGGATTCGAAGGTGGTTCTAAAAGGTATTAAACATGGTACCTTATATCTTCTACAGGGATATGTCATTGTTGCATCTGAGATTCATAGAGGTGATGAAAGTCTTAATGTTAAGGTGGAGGTTCCATCTGCAAGGATTGAGACTGTTGATCACCTAGAAGAATCATCTGTTTCTACGCCTCAATGAGGCAATTTGGGCCCCGGGAGGGGGCGATTTGGGCTCGTATGGGGCAATCTGGGCTTCAGGAGGAGTCATCTAGACACTAGGTTGGTGTCATCTGTTTCTGTTTAGGTTCCATGAAAAGTCATCTGGACTCAAGGTGGAGTTTGCATTTGTTGGTGTTTTAGCTTGAGTTATTTGTCCCCATGAGTGAGGGAAATTTGTTTTGGTGCGTCACAACACTTCTGAACTCAAGTAAAACTATTTGTTCCTGTCTTTTAGTGACATTTGTGTCCTTGGTTGGACTTCTGGTACATACGGTACATCTGGTCACTTCTTGAAGGAAATCTGGTACATCTGCTGTCTTTTGAGGAGATTCAAGTCAAGGTGGAGATTTGTTAGAAAATGCCTTGAATCTGTGTCCTAGACGTATTAGGATTACGACTAGGAATAGGATTAGGATTATCTTTCCTATTCTCATCTTTATATATGTAGTATGATTAGGATTACCCATATCCCCTTCCCTATATATATATATATATAGTTTGTATTTGTACTCCTCAATTCATGGCAAAGAAAACATGTAATCTGGTGAGAAAATATTGATCAATAATAGTTTTTCTCTTCTGTCCGTGGAGGTTACTAACAGGTTGTTAGTAAACCACGTTAAATCTCTGTCTTTTACATGATTGTCGATTGTTCGTGTTCATACTTTCTCGCGTCTGTCATAACAGATAATTATTTAAAAGCTTCTTTCAATTAATTTTTTTAGTTTTACATTGTCTATTGGACAAAGAGGCAGGCACTGCCCCCGAAGCCACATGTAATCACGCCCCTAATAATTTTGATTTCTGAATCCGCCACTGATTATCCATCTCCACTGTAATTCGTTGTGTCACCAGTCACCCCAATGATATTGATCCAACTAAAAGCCTCCCGGAAATATAACTAGTGGTGATATAACTATTTTATAAAATGATTGACGAGAACAGTAATAATTTAATCTCGATAATCTCATAAATTTGACATTTCATGTTTATTAAAATAATTTGTCTGGAGGTTGAAGCTGCCCTTCAAGCGATGCCCATGGAAAAGTAGCACTGATTGCCAAGTTGGAAGTTGATCTGGAGGATGCCCGGTGGATTATTCCGTTGACTTAGTTGATCTGTACTCCTATTTCGCGAATGTCTCTTCTCGGGCTCCTAGCCGTTGTACTGCTTGAAATGTTGACTCCTTTTTTTAGGCATGGTTATATGTTTATCTTTACTCTCCTTGTTCTGTTCTCACGTTAGTAGTCTCATTACTTTGTGTAACTTACGCGGCCCACTTTAACCGACAAGCCCGGTAGCGAATTGGTCCGCTCCATATTGTCAAGAACAAGAAACCCTAGTCAATCCTCGGAAAGGACGCAACCGCCTTTGCTCCCCAATCACCTCTTTCGCCTTGGAGAAATGCTAGAGTCACAAACATTTTGGTCACAAAATACACAAACTTACCATTTGTGTATTTAAATGTTTACTTTTTAATTACTCAACATCATTTTATTCATTTAGTGAGGTGCACAAATGGTAAGTTTGTGTATTTTGTGACCAAAGTGTTTGTGACTCAAGCATTTCTCTTCGCCTTGACTTTCTCGCCTTTGCTCAGCAATCACCCTCTTCCTTTAAACATCAACTCCCACACTTCTCCTTTTCTTCTTATCATGGCCGATGGTGACAAGAAACCAATCTTCATCGACTTTACTATTTTTGATTCCTCTTCTTCAGAGAGCTTTCTTTCCGAGTCCTCTACTTCTAAGCCTTCTGTTACCTCCAAGAATGCGACAAGCCTGAACTCACCGGAGTGCGCAAGTCGCCACCACCCTCCTCAGCATTCTTCGGACCTTCTCCCTCCTGATCCTTTCCGGCCTCACGGAAAGGACACAGCGAAAGGTACCTATCACCACCAAGATACTCCTCAATATTAGAGGAGGCGCCAAGCCAGTGCAGATGTGGCCTGTCTCGTTGCGGGTCCAGACGTCTACGGTCTGGTCACCATCAACCTCTACCTCTGCAGCCATGTCGGACGGATCTGGACGCCTGGACGGCGAGCAAGGGGATTACGACATGGGCTAGGAAAGCAAACCGTCCATTGCCCCCCTCACATCCTTCGTCCTAAGTGCATGGATATCCGATGCAATGTGCTTCTTGATGAGTATCTTGATCCAGCAGTCTTTTCATCTCAGTTGGGCGGTTTGACCGGTCCTAAACGCCAGTCATTCCATTGTTTAGCAGTTTATCCCTATGTTCAATCCCAACCCTTTGGTAATCCACCGGATCTCCTCCTTATTAAATAGTGGAACATGGATTCAATCTCCGTTCGAACCCAAGTTGTAAATCATGGATAAATTTTCATTGTTGTAACCCAAAGAAATGTGTTTCCTTATTTGAATTATTTAATGAAAAATCATTTATCTTCTTTTCTCGTTGTATGTTATTAATGTTATCTTTGCACAAAGCATACAATATGAGATATATTTTCTCGTTATTATTATTAACATTATTATTAGTACTATTAGTACTATTACTACTACTATTAATATTATGATTATAATTATTAAACTATTGTTATTATTATTATTGTTATATATTATTATTACTATTATTACAATTATTATTACTATTATTATTATAATTACTATTATGAATATTATTATTCTTATATTTATTATTACTATTTTTATTATTACAATTACTATTACCACTATTATTATTAATTCTATTATTATTATTATTATTATTATTATTATTATTATTACTATTACTACTACTACTACTATTACTATTATTATGACTATAATAATTATTACTATTTTTACTATAATAATAATAATTTTTATTATTACTATTGTTATGATTACAATTATTATTTTTATTCACTATTACTATTATTATTATTTCTATACTTATTCTTATTATTATTTCTATTGTTAATATTACGATTATTATTATTATGATAGTTATTATTAATAATATTCTTATTACTATTATTATTATTATTACCACAACCATTGTTATTTATATTATTATTATTACTTTTTAATTAGTATAATTATTATTATAGTTATTATTAGTATTACTATTCTTATTACTATTATTATTACTAGTACTATGATTGTTAATATTATTATTATTATTATTATAACTATTATAATAATAATAATTTTAATTTTAATCAAATTTATATCAGATCAGACCAGATAAGTTCAGTTCGGATTTAATTTGATTAGACCAGATCCAATCAGATGAGATCAGATCCAATCAGATCAGACTAGATCACAACTTCAGAAATTCTAATAAGATCAGATCATGTGAACAGGACGCAACCTAAAGTACTATAATATCGTTCATGAAAATCTAAAAGAGTTTTCATAAAGCTATAATGTCCAAAATACAAAAATAATTCATAACCCGACCAGAGGCTCTGCCCCTAACCCTATCAGGGGCTGCGGTCTCTTTGACCCCGATATTGGGGCCACCCAGAACGCCTCTATAATTTGTAATATCGAGCACTCTGCACTTCCTAACTTATTTGACATCTATACAAATTTTTGTCTAATCGAAATAAATCTAATTAAACAAAATAACCGATAGACAATAATATCACCAACACTTTTTTTAATCAAACTTTGATACTTTTTAATTACAAACTAAACATAATTTTGATAAATAAATATTGTAAAAATTTGATTTATCAAATCTATATTCTAAAATGAACCAAATTATATTGATTTCACAATATAATGAAATATACTCTCTCTGTCCCAATTTAATTACCAGTTTACTATTCACATAGTCAAACTTTATTTTTTCTGTATTTTCAGTAATTATTTGATAAAATAATGTAGACATGTCACACTAGCTATGTAAATATTTTGATACAATTTTTAAATATGTAATTTTTATTTTTTAGCTGTACAATATTTTTTATATAAAATGATTTGAAAATAATTTTAATCAAATATCGTAAACCGAAATAGATAATTAAAATTGGGATAGATGGAGTACTTTTTAACAATCTATTGTCAAAGAGTATTTTTGTAAAAATGTCAAAAATGAAAATTTTTCTGGAACGGATGTAGCTTTTTATTTCCAGAGTTACCATTCATGGATCATTCTTTGACACAAAAAAAGGAATTCTGTATAAGAATATTGTAACTATTATAATCAAATCAGATCAGATATAATCAGATTATACTAGATCAAAACTTCAAAAATTCTAATCAGATCAGATCAGGTGAACGGAAAGCAACCTAAAGTACTATAATAACGTTCATGAAAATTTAAAAGGGTTTTCATAAAGCTATAATGTCCAAAATAAAAAAGAATTCATAACCAGATCAGAGGCTTTGCCCCTTACCCTATCAGGGGGCTGCGATCCCTTGGACCCCAATACTGGGGCTACCCCGAACGCCTCTACAATTTGATATATCGAGCACTTTGGACTTCTTAACTTATTTGACATCTATACAAATTTTTGTCTGATCTAAATAAATCAAATTAAACAAAATAACCGATAGACTAATATCACCAACACTTTTTTAATCAAACTTTGATATTTTTTAATTGCAAACTAAACATAATTTTTATAAATAAATATTGTAAAAATTTGATACATCAAATGTATATTCTAAAATGAACTGAATTATACTGATTTCACAATATAATGAAATATTCTCTCTGTCCCAATTTAATTACCAGTTTACTATTTACATTGTCAAACTTCATTCATTTTTTTTCTTTCTCTATTTTCATTAATTATTTGATAAAATAATATAAACATGTCACACTAATTTTGTAAATCTTTTGATATAATTTTTAAATATGTAATTTTTAATTTTTTAGTTAACTTTAATTAAATAATGTAAACCGAAATAGATAATTAAAATTGGGATGAAGGGAGTACTTTTTAACAATCTGTACTCAAAGAGTATTATTGTAAAATGTCAAAAAATGAAAGTTTTTCTGGAACGGTTGTAGCTTTTTATTTCCAGAGTTACCATTGATGGACCATTCTTTGACAAAAAAAAAAAAAGGAATTCAGTATCATCATCAAATCGTCAAGCGAGACAAGTTTTTTGTGAAATCTTTCTTTGGTGCCAAAAGTTGGGTGCGCCCAGTTAAGATTTTATTTATGTTATAAATACGGTTTCCATATCATATTGATAAATGGTTAACCCTGAGATAGAAGGCTATTTACACAAGCAAAGTTGCGGGCATTCACATCTTAGGATGGAAACAATGCTTAGCTGTAGTAATACATACATACATCAGATGAACAAGTGTGCCTCCTTTCAGGCAATTTTGGCAGCTAACAGTTACATTACATAAGAGTAATGTAATATATTAGTAATAATATACACACAAGACATATACATAATTCTCACATCCTACAGCAGAAGGCAATGGTGCATCAGTGCCATTTTCATTCATCAACGGCCTGAAACATAAGTCAAGAGCAATGAATCATTACTAAGGGGATGCAACAGTTGATGAAACAATTCAGCTAGCCAGAGATAAAGAATACTAAAATTATGGCAAGGGTTGTAGAAATGAGGAAGCTGTGTAAGTCTAACCGGATGTGAAGGAGCAACGAGATAAAACTCAGTAATGACTGCAACTAACCCTCACCAGCAGTAGCAGAGCATTCCCCAACATCTGATTTTACATTTAAATCGTTGTTAATACAGGAAATAACATTATGAGATCCATCAACATGCTGTTCAAATGAAACGTCTCCGGTAAGATCTGCAGGCGAAGAGATACCTGAAACTGTCTCCTTGACAGTATCGGTTTTAGAAGCTTCAACGGCAATCTGAATCACCTCATCTCTAGATGTTCCATCAACTGGACTGATTTGGTGTTCATTACTTTCATGATCAGATGCATCGCCATTCCCATCAGAAATTTTATTTTGTAGTGTTTTAACTGCAAAAATGTCATGAGAAACGCTTTCCAACAGGGTTGGAGCTTCAGCAACTCCAGCATCAAGAATTGTGATCACAGTTTCAGGCTTCTGAGGAGTCTGCTTGATATCTACCTCATTACGAAATGCCACTGAAGTAGGTTCATGTTCTTCACCTGACTCTGTTCTTTTCTTCTCTTGTGCTCTAACATCTTTCTCAGATGGATTTTCAGAAATTTCAGTTGCTGCTAAAGCTCCATCATCAACTGAGGCTTTCACCCCAACAATATTGGTTTCAATGTTCTCGGAGGCCATCTCAGAATCTAGTGTTGTTGCTAAAGCGGCACCTTCAACAGATGTATCATCCCTAACTATTTCCGTTTCTGCAATCTCCGATGGCCTCGTAGCAGTACAAAGTTCAGGTCCAGAAACATCAGTCTTCGCTGCTGCCACTGTTGTTAATGAACCATCTTCAACAGCAGTGTTCTTGATAACTGCTTCTGTGTCCACAATATCAAATATTTGCTTCAATTGAGATTTAGTTTCTGCATCCCGATCAACACCATGAAGTTCAGGTCCAATAATTTCAACAGCATTAGGATTAGAAGATATTTCAAGCACTGTACATTCCACATATGGAGTCTCACTGTTCTTTGCCGCTACAACATCTTTAACTGAATTACCAACTTCCACAACATCTCGTTTTAAATTCTCAGATATCAGTTTTGTTTCTAATTCACTTTCTGATTTCCCTAATGCATTAATAGGTTGGGCAGATTGTACCCTGCACAGATTCTCAGAGTTTTCATCTGTTGCTAGATATCTGGAGTCCACTGCAGTTGCCTGCGTGGCAGATTCAGATTCCACTTCCTCAAGGGTCTGCTTTGTCCCAGAACTCTCAGTAGTAGTATATTGTTCCGAGAATTTCTCTGGTACTGCAAAAGAAGACTCTTCCTTGGAGGGAATATCAGACGTATCTGCTTCTGTCACAACTCTAACTTCAAGTGTGTCCATGTTTCCAGAGATTGGTACTTCTTCTGATATCTTTTTAAATACCCAAGGAGCAATACTCCTTTTAGATTCTCTTGATAATGGGTGTGACATATCTTCACTTAGCTCAGGCCTTAGCTGCTCCTGTACCTGAACAGAATCTACCCTGCATGGGCTCCCAGAATTCTCTCCTGGTGCAAGATCTTCAGGGTGTGAAATACCTTC